TATTTTAATCCAATCAAAACATGGAAGTTTGTTTGATAGCTATGAAGATTAGTAATCAAATGTTGCTACAGATATTATACACCAAGATAATGATCGCAGAGATAATTGGTAGCCAACAAAACAATGAATTTTATATTGTACCGAAGCTGATTATTTTTTAATTGAAGTTGACTACTTTGAGGAATGTCGTGGTGGCCCGGAGGTTTAAGACGCCCGCTTCTTATGCATGAGGGTGCGGGTTCGAAACCTACCATCGGCAAGTACCAATGTGACTTTTTCCGAGTTATATGTACTTTCTAAGATTATTTAGACACCACTAACAAACGGTGAAGGAAAACATCGTGAGGAAACCTGGGCTTATAATTTCTAATTATAAGTTTGAAATCACCAACCCGCATTGAGCAAGCGTGGTGATTAATGCTCTAACCTTCTCCGTGTGAGAAGAGGCTTTGCCCAGCGGTGGGCATTTATAGGCTGTTGATGATGACTTTGAGGAATTGCCTTCGATGTTTGTAGCAGAATTTTTTTATATTGAATGAGAAGCGGGCGGTTTAAACTACGATATATACAAGAGAGTGAATAATAAAAAATGGAAGTAAAAGAAATAAGGAATATTTATGTAACCAACCAACTAATTAACTCGTCGAATACCGGTTTTATAGACGCAATTAAAGAACAATAGGTCGCGGTCACCGGTGACCGCTTAGTGTTTGACAGTTTAAGGCCCAATCCTTCTATGAAGAGACTGCAGAACAAAATTGACTGTTGTCATGTTATGCAAAAGTATCATCTTTAAAAGATTTTTGTTAGAAATTAAAATGTTAAATGATTCGCAGGCGAAAAAGAGGTCATTGCGTCAGTATGTCATTAAAACAATCACGAGCATTGATGTTATACATTCCATTATTTTATCAAACGTTAAAATATCTAGATTTCCTTCAAAGTAACCTAGATTTTGGTGCTGATTGTCTCGAATTGGTTCAGGTGATATTAATAGGCATTCTCATTATAAAGACACTTCTATTTTCAATAATATTGATTTAATTATTTCACTATAGAACTTTATTCTAGATTTGAAAACGTAATAGCTTATATAAAAAAGGTTGGTAGATACTAAGTTTTTATTTAATTTTTTTTTCTCAAATTACGAGGAATTTTCACAATACATAACATAACATCACGCCTTTTTATCACATTACGGCACTTAATGCCACTGTACAATGTAACACCCACTTTTCACTATTTATGTTATGAGTCCCATGTAATAGGGCCTATTACCAAATACCGGGCACAGTTCCAGACCGTGTGCTACTACAGTAATTTAAAAAAAAAACCCAGTAAATCTTTGCCCGACCCGGGAATCGAGCCCGAGACACTCGGCCAATAAGGTAGTCTCAACTGTCTCAGACAGTCAAATTGATTGTGACTTAACAAAATACAAATAATTTGTTGTTATGCGCAATTTTGTTTTAAATGCGCATATAGACAGATATATAAGTAATTGACATGTCATTCTGACATCATTTAATAATTGCACATGTTCTTCTGCAGATAATATCAAAATTGTCGTCGACGACCAATATCTAGAAATCACATTAAAATCAAATAGAGCAAAGTCCTCTTATACTATTGTTGTTTGTTTTGATTTTGGAATGGACCTGTGACATTGTGAACATTTCTCTACCGTAACAAATATAGTACCTATTAGCTGTTGCCCGCGATTTGTTTCGCGTGGAATAGTGATTCACAGCTCCTCCCCTGTAGGTGATAGCGTGATAATATGTAGCCTATATATTGACCCGACCTGTTAGTAATATTCATGCAAAATTTGAAGTAAATCCATGCAGTACTTTTGGAGATCATCCCAGACATACATAACGACAAACAGACAAAAATTCTAAAAACTATATTTTTGTTTCGGTATCGATTGTAGATCACGCTACAAGTACAGTTTTGACTTTTCTACAATTTTATTATGGATGATGATATCATCATCAGATTAGTCGACAACACTGTATTGGAGAGACTCCGTTGCCAAAAAGAAAGAAAAAAATAAAAAATAAATATCCGATATCGAGTTGTGAATCGCGAAAATCTTACGAAAATTTAAATTTCGCGGGTTACCTTGGAACATTAATTTTAACATGTGTCTGTTAATTGTTACAATGAAATTGACAAAAGAAATTAAAATCGGTTGACTCTAAAATAATTATTTAAAATGAATTGCTAAACTTACTTTTTTTTAAATATTATAAGGCTCTGTTCTGAAATAAAAAATTTAAGCAAAATAAAAGTGCATTCAACGAGGAAATGCCTCGTTTACACCATGAAAGCGAGACAGTAGCTCGGAAGAGTAATCCAGTGATCTTGATAGCGGTTCAATATTGACTGGAATGAGGCAGTGCCGCCGGCCAGTACCGGTTCGATTGTTTGTGTTGACAGTACAATACAAATACAAATACTCTCCTCTTTATTACTCCAATACCCACACACAAATATTGGAAGTTGGATAAAATTTGATGAAGTATTTTTATGAAAGATCGGAATTGTATTTTTGTTCTAGAATCTGTATTGTAATTACATTATTGGAATTGCAATTTGAGAGATTTTATACCTATTACTTGTTTAAATACAAAAGGTGAGAAAATGGATGACTTTCTTTCAAATTGTAAGACGATACGGTGGGGTTTAGTGAGTCAGAAAAGATGTTTTTTCTTTTATTCATTGATTAAACTATAATTATTAATACTGGCTTCGCATATACTCCTGCATTTCTCTGCACTTCCCTATGGTTGACTGTAAGAGAATGCCTTAAGGCATTAAGTCCGCCATTCACTATTATGTTTTGTGAAGAAGAAATATATAAATAAATAAATCTTTACTAATATTATAAATCTGAAAGTGAGTTTGTTTGTTCCACCTTCACGCCGTAACTACTCAAACGATTGCTTTGAATTTTTGCAGACGTAAAGTTAGATGTCCGGATTAAATAATAGGGTACTTTTTAACCCGGAAAAATTGATATTCCCGAGGGAAAACAAAAGTATTGGTATAGATGGTGCTGTATGTATTGGTATATGCCACATAGGCTACTTTTTATCCTTTTGTGACGCGAGCGAAGCCGCGGGTAAAAGCTAGTAATATTATAAAGTGGAAAGTGATATACCTAGGCGACATTATTTTCTTTGACCACGGAAGGAATACCAAGAGTAATACTTAGTTCTTTTATAAAATAATGTAATTTTACCTGGATCGCTAGGTAAACAGATAAATAAACTAATAAAAACGTTTCATTTGTAAATGAAGACAATACAATACCTATCTGCAACGCTTACATATTTACTTCTCGAAATTTCAGTAGAAATTAGGTGGATGAATAATGTATCAAGCCTTATATAAAAACACATAGCAGTGTAATGGCCGATGTGACTCAAAGGCGTGATTTTTAAATTGATTGATTGAGTTCATTAAGAAAAATATCAATGATGTTAATCGCGATAAATATTTTAATGTCGATAACAATATTAGTACCTACATTAGATTAGATTTACACCATATTTAAGAACAATTTTTGTATGTAGATAATAAAATAAGAAAATTGTTTATTAAATTTTAATGAAATCTTATGAAGTTCAACGGAATTATTACTTGCAATCCAATTAATTGCTTTAATTACTATGGCAATTATAAAAGTCTGTCTTTGACGAAAATGCAGTTCAATGAAAACTAATCTTTTGATAAGTCTTGATTTTTGATTATATCAACGTTAATGTGTTAATATGATCTCCTCTGGTGTTTCGGGTGTCCATGCGCGGCACTGATCGCTTACCATCAAGTGATCCGTCTGCTCGTTTACCTCCAATTCCACAAAAAAGGTCATTTTAACTTTGTCCATCGTAACCCAATAAATATACTTTTCTCTAGTTATCTATGTGAAGTAAACCAGACTGGGAATAAGAATTTAAGGATCACACAAACAATTTTTCCGTGAGAATCAAATCTGCCACACTTTGCCCACCAACCAAGCGCCCAGTCACTACACCAACCGTCGATTTTACCAGAGAGAAACAGTTTCTGATATTGTTGAGATCAATAGTACGAATGGTTATTTCAAATATATAAATCCAGGCAATTCTATGAATGGAAACTATGAACTTCAGATATTTATAAATAGTGGATCCATAAGCAGACGCAGGCTATTTCAGAACGTTACGTCAATCGATTTTTATATTTGGATCTGTGTTTCTAGTAATAGAGTTCCAAATTCATTGTGAGGATTGTTCTGCGCTGCTAAACATTAATTTGCCATATTTTTACCTTTAGACCGTCTTTTCTATTAATCTGTAGATAAGTGATAGTGGAGGTTTTTACTTAAAATTATGTCATTAATGTGTTGACTCATTAGTAAAAAATTAACAAAATATTGTCTTGTTTAGTCGAGAAAAGTGATTAGTGTATTGGCTAGTTTGGTTTCTATCTATCAGTATAATTTTCCTAAAAACCAGTTTGAAGTGTGCATCTTTATCTTATTAATGTTTTGAGTCCATAGTCCTGTAATCAAAAGGTATGACAGATTCATTATTTACCAACTTATTCCTCATACGACATCAGAATTTAATTTCAAATCTCTAAACATTACGGTTTCTTGTCTGTCGTCTGCAAAATTTCGCTCTTCAAAATAATATTCCCCGCTGTTATACTTTTGTATTCATTTGATGAATGTCAGGTTTGTTCTGTATTTGCCTACACACCGAGATATTGTGCGGAAACTTATTTGTCATTGGTTGTCTCCTGAAATCTTTTGATGCTCTGCACAATACTAAATGTTTTCCCCGGGATTTAGCGGCGGAGGGAAAAATTGGTGGGATTTAATGATTTGTGAGTTATGGCTTGGGGTTTGTGACGGATTGTACAGATTTTATGTTTGGTATTACGCAGTTTGATGAGATGAATGTGTTTGCATTGCAGGTGGTGTCAGTGGGAGCGGGAGGAGCGGCGGCATGCGCGTGGTGTTGGCAGCGCTGACGGCGCTGGCGGCGCGCGCGCTCGCCGGGCCTCACGAGCACCGCGCGCGCCACCACGCGCCCGAGCACCCGCCACACTTCCCCGCGCCGGCGCCGCCACAGCCCTACCGCGGACACGGCGAGGCCGTCCGATACAACCCCGAACTAGACACTATACTACCCCGACTTGAAGATCACGAGACTTCCTCCAAACGAGCAAAGTTTGAAGATGCAGAAACCTCTTCCAAGAGAGCCAAATACGATGAAAGATTCTACTCGAATCATGAACGAGCTGATGAAGAGCCCATGGCTGATGAGCCACAGCTCGGGCCAGAGGACGACGATCCACTCGTCGTTCGTACTAGAAAGGGAAGAGTAAGAGGCATCACGTTAACTGCTGCAACTGGGAAAAAAGTCGACGCATGGTTCGGCATCCCATACGCTCAAAAGCCAGTAGGTGACTTGAGATTCAGGCACCCTAGACCGGCAGAGAGCTGGGGAGATGAAATATTGAATACTACGACACTGCCACATTCATGCGTTCAAATTATAGATACTGTGTTTGGTGATTTTCCTGGAGCGATGATGTGGAATCCCAACACAGACATGCAGGAAGACTGTCTCTTTATTAATATAGTCACACCCAGGCCACGACCCAAGAACGCTGCTGTCATGCTGTGGGTCTTCGGCGGTGGGTTTTACTCAGGAACTGCTACTCTAGATGTTTACGACGCAAAAATACTCGTATCAGAAGAGAAAGTAGTCTATGTTTCAATGCAATATAGAGTTGCGTCCCTAGGTTTTCTATTCTTTGATACTCCTGATGTACCGGGTAATGCTGGTCTTTTTGATCAGCTCATGGCTTTACAATGGGTGAAAGACAACATAGCTTACTTCGGAGGAAACCCGCACAATATAACATTATTTGGTGAGTCGGCGGGGGCTGTGTCGGTTTCATTGCATTTGTTGTCGCCTTTATCGAGAAATTTGTTCTCTCAGGCGATAATGCAGTCAGGAGCAGCTACTGCGCCGTGGGCCATTATATCAAGAGAAGAAAGCATTTTGAGAGGTATCCGATTAGCAGAAGCTGTCCACTGTCCACATTCCAGAACGGATATGGGCCCTATGATTGAGTGTCTCAGAAAGAAGAGTCCAGATGAACTAGTCAATAATGAATGGGGAACTCTTGGTATTTGTGAAGTTCCCTTTGTGCCCATCATAGATGGTTCTTTCTTAGATGAGTTACCTGCTCGATCATTAGCTCATCAGAACTTTAAGAAGACCAATCTTTTGATGGGATCCAATACGGAAGAAGGTTACTACTTTATACTTTATTATCTTACTGAGTTATTCCCCAAGGAAGAGAATGTAGGGATAAGTAGGGAGCAGTACTTGCAGGCAGTCAGAGAGTTGAATCCGTATGTGAATGACGTTGGCAGACAGGCTATTGTGTTCGAGTACACGGACTGGTTGAATCCGGACGATCCAATAAGGAACCGAAATGCTTTGGATAAGATGGTGGGAGACTATCACTTTACTTGTGGAGTGAATGAAATGGCACATCGTTACGCAGAAACTGGAAACAATGTCTTTACATATTACTACAAGCATCGCAGCAAGAACAACCCCTGGCCATCATGGACAGGAGTGATGCATGCTGATGAAATCAATTATGTATTCGGGGAGCCTTTGAATCCAGGAAAGAACTATTCACCGGAGGAGGTGGAATTCAGCAAACGCCTGATGAGATATTGGGCTAACTTCGCGAGAACCGGGTGAGTTATTAATACTAATCGATCTCAATTTAATTGATACCATCAGAAATTGTGCTTAACATCTGACGTTTGGAGTCGTGTGATGTGATGATCAATCATTTTATTTCAAACGAAAATGATGAAATCTTTGCAGGAATAATTTTGATAACGGTATCAGTTACTATGTTATAATTTGCTAAAACAAAATTTCTTGCAATTACAGATTATTAATATGTAACTAATTATTAATTGTAATTTATTGGTTTTGTGTACCTATGATTTTATAAGGAAAATGCAAAGATAAAGATCTGTAGGTGAATTTTTGTATTTACCTGGTCACTACATGATGCCTACGTTTTAGTACAGCCATCATTGATAAGAAAAGACATTGATTAATGGTGAAATTTGATTAGATGCACTAATTTCATGAATACAAAATTAGATATAGGTAACGTATTGTTACTTCAGAAGTTTTAAAGTAATTTTGCCACATTTATAGTCACGTTATCAATGTAGACGTTAATAAGGAGCGATGCTTGCACTAAAAGCAAGCTCCAAACAACGCACTATTTCTCTACCAAGACGTGAGCATATTGAACATTCTACTGACGAGGTTACATTTTCAATACGTATCAGTTTCAAAACGTGTTCCTTCTTATTTCTAGCAACCCATCGATAAACCCGAATGGAGAATCGACGAAGATCTACTGGCCAGTCCACTCAGCTACTGGCAGAGAGTACTTGTCGCTAGCAGTCAACTCCAGTACAGTAGGCCACGGGCTGAGAGTCAAGGAGTGCGCGTTCTGGCAGAAGTATCTGCCACAATTGATGTCTGCTACCAGTAAGTAATAATATCATATTAAGTTTATATTTTTTATGGGATAGCAGAGCAAGCACCCGGTGGTAAGCAATTAGAGTCGTCCGTAGACGTCAGTAACTCCAGACGAGTTACGGATCGTCGTAGATAATCTATGCATATGTTAAAAAAAAGAAACCCGTTACCCGTTGTCACGCCATAACTTGAGAATGGCTGGACGGATTTGCCTGATTTTTTTTGTTGTATTTGTTATTGTCATTAGTGTCAATTCGAAATATATATATTTAGATAGCAGCTATCATAGACATAAATCTTAAAATCACAGTAGCGGCACGTATTAATTAATTTACAATAATTATCGAAGCCGGTGATAAAATGAAACAACTGTTCATTGTAATCAGTTCAATATTTATCAATAGGTACTTTAATCATTAGTACTGATTGTTGCTACGACTTTATTAGTTTTTCATTTGGTGACTGATGCAAAATTTCCTTTTGAATTTTTCTTAATCAATAATTTGCTTACCGTGGTTTGCCTTTGTGTACCTTTATCTTTTTTTGACAATACTGATGGGTTTAAGATAATTGTCGAGGTGCTTAAAATGAGAGATATGGTTTATTTGTTCGTCTGATGACGCCGACGTGCTATATGGGACGATTTATGAAATATCGATGACAAAGAGTGATGTAGCTGCTGATTGTAGATTAACTGCCTAGAGGGCTCTAGCAACGAGCTTATTTTAAGGGGGGAAAATCATCGAATGGCTTTTCCCGCCTAGGTGAGGTGGAAGGGAGTGCTCCATCCATCGAAAGCCGCATCATTGCTTACCACCAGGCCACGAGATAGTGGCCAAACATTGGACCACCAAACATAAAAAAACAAATCCAACAAAAGATGCATCTTAATTCCCACATATTTAGCACTCATTTTTGCACACGTGTATTAATTAGTTGTAGGAATTGTTGAGCTTTTAATTACTATACATAAATGTGGGATTTCCCAATCGTTATGACTACGTATGCAAGATTGGTATCATATCAGTTCGCATTATGTATACCTATGATGGCATTCTGAAAATCTGATTATATCATTATTCACATAACCGGTTGCGTTAATATTGTTATTATCGTTAAATTATTATGACGATTTTATAATTTATCTCTGGTGTTCAGTGATTTTCATTTCGCTGTTACTAATCAATTTTGATAAATCTTTTTACTTAAGTAATTTCTTCGAAAGATAACTCCTCAAAATGTATTGGAATGGATTAAGTTAAATACTTTTAAGGTTAAGTATTCATGAAAACTACCATCATGTATGTCGTAATAAGAAATCAATAAAATGAACGTCTTTTGAGGACAGCTAAAATCGATTTATGCAAAAATACCGATATTTTTAACATGACGTTTTTTTTTGTTTATTTGTTTCCTTCACAATTAAGTGTGGGTGAACCATACTTCGGCACGAATGGGCCAGCTGGACCGAAGTGATACCACGGCCTTACAAAAAAGCGACTTGAAACCACGCTTGCGTTGTGTTTCGTTGTTTAGTTGAGGTTACCAGATGCCCAATTACCGTATTTGTATTTTTTATTATGTAACACCATGACATATACCCATATTTGCGAAATTAAATATCTTTATCTTTATCTTACCCCTCTCCCCGTTCTCCAATATCCCCAATCCCTGAACCTTCAACAATCCTCAAACTCCTAATCCCTAAAAGCCCGGTAACGTACTTGTAACGCTTCAGGCGTTCCGGGTGTCCATGAGCGACGCCAATTGCTTACCATCAGGTGATCCGTCTGCTCGTTTACCGGCTTATCCCACAAAAAAAAACAATTACCTACAATTTCTACTAGTAACTTTCAAATTACTCTTTTTTCATATATTCCTTTTATTTAATATATTCCTTTATTAAATAAAATTATACTTTGCTTGTTACAGATAAGCCAGAACCACCAAAGAACTGTACGAGCAGTGCAGCACCAATCAAGGTGCCGTATGAAATCATCGGAGTGGGTGTAGTCATCGCCACTGGTTTGGCCAAGACCACTATGTTCAAGTATATCGTGTAACTGTATCCTGTGGTCTTCGAGTCTCTTAGATTCATTTGCTTCGTCTACTGTTTCTTCATTCATAAGATTCAGATTGTTTGAAATATCGTCAAAGTTTATGAAATTACCATTCGTCAGGAACATTATTTTTGAATGAATTATTATTATATTTCAATCATGAAAGGAAAAAAAAGGTGTTTAGTAATGAAATTGTAATTGATTTAAAGTTGGTAAAAATGTCCATGTAATATCGATTAAACCTATAAATTCATTTGACTATACATAACCAACCTAACACATAACACACCAACAACCGAAACCTATACAATCATATGGTTGCACATAAAAAGATGTATCTTCAGATAAAAATAATAATCATTACGTATATTTACAAATGGAAGGCGCCTTTCCATTTAAAGATTTTTATTGAATGACATATGTAAAAGTATGGATATGTTTTAATTTTTATAATAACTATCGTGAGACATAGTAAATTAACTAAAAATGCGGGTTACTCACGTGAATATATTGAGAAAAGCTCTACTAGTCACGCGGTCGCGGCGACGTCGCGCACGCTGCTCATGAGAAAGAACCCCTCTGTGGTTCGAAACTAGTAGAGCTTTTCTTAGTGTTCACGTGAGTAACCCGAGATTTTTAGTTAATGTTTTAATTTTTTAAGAAATTAGAGATAAAGTTTGTGTTATATATTGGCAATCTGAATCTCGTGAGTAAAGAAGTAATGAAATAAATTAGATTATTTATTCGTGTATAATATTATGTGTTGCCGCCAAAAAATCTCTGGAATATTTTCTTATCAACTTATTTTTATAACGTAGAGTATTTTAGTTGTAAGCCACCTGGAGTGTTGAATTGCTGAGTCCATTAATGTTCGTCTAGATATCTGTTAAGTTCAATAGTTAAATGTAAGCGATGTAATGTATTGTTTAAATTCTAATGTTATACTTTAAAGGAGTGATTTCTCCAACTACATATCACTTGTTAATAACAAATTATAGATTACTGGTACACGTAATTTCGTCATAGTATAAGTACTATCTACATATCTTCTGTAGGTTAATGAACTTCTGCCATGTGGTGTGACGTCATCATGAATGTCAACTTTGTCTTCATAGTGCTAAGGGGCATGATGTTTCAATTGAGTCTGCGGTGTGTTTCGGTGTTTCGGAGTTCTGAAGGCGTAGATATGAGTAAATGATTAAAATGTTAGCTTTAACTCGCCTCTAACGCAATACATATCACGCAAAGGCATAGAAAAATTTAAGTTCATTATAGCCTTAGAGAGTAAGTTTAATATAAGCTAGATCATTTCAACACTCAGTAGCGGACCAATATTAGAAAGTTGTACGTGTTATAATGGTTCGATGTAATGCGGCGGAACTATGCGGATCGTGCGCCATCACTTACGAAGCCAAGCAGAACAAGCAACATTTTGATATTTACGAACAAATTACCAAAGAAATCATAGATACAAAGTTAAATAAGACTAAAATTCATAGTAATGTTACAATATTATACACTAACGGGAGCGAATGTACACGAGACGCAATCCAGAGGGCGATGAAGGGAATACATAAATGGAAGATGTACAGAAAGTAGTATACTGAATGTATTAGCGAATACAAAATTTAGTACATTACATTTAGGGTCGATACATCTAGTTTAGAGATCGTAGTTCGAGCGGTTCAGCTTTCAAATATTGGTGGACGATAGAAGAATCTTTACAATTCGAGATTTAAGATAAATATTACTAGTACAATACCGTAAGGTTCTCGCGACAGTCGACTAGACAACTGGATAACTTCATTGATGTAAATAAATGAGTGTTAGTATTGTAGGGACTCGCGACGCCCTTGATTCTTTTTTTTAAAGGGTCGATCAGACGGGTGCCTACGTCGTGTATATCAAGAAAATATTAACCTGTTGTGAAGGACGATACCTATGAGACATAGTTAAATGTAATTTTTACGTAGTATTCTGTGCTTCTGTTGGTTTATTTCCATTAGGCTATGTGATCGTACACATGGATAGTGTCTCTCGCTATATTAGTTAATGTATAGTAATATTCATGTTCTAGTTCCACGTTCAATGTTTCACGGATTACGCTTATTTTAGATCTGCGTATATAAACCTATAGAGTGCCTCTTATTCACTTTTATATATATTGATACATAGGTGATACTGGTAGATGTAGTTCGCGTTATTTCTCGATGCACACTTTATTTCATTTTGTATTTCGTATTCAACACAGACGCGTAGTGCCAAATGAGATTGAGATTATTGAAAAGGGGTTAAAGATTTGAATTTTGCGATACAGATAACGCTTTCGACATAAGAGAATTGTATATTTGGTGCATTCGAAACGAATGATAAATAAACGATTTGTTCAAAATTATAGCTTATCCACTATGCGATGGTGTTTTGAGGTTATGGTGTTCAACTTGGAGAGACTTAAAATCTGTTTGAATATCTAACTGTGTAGATCAACGCTCACCTTTTTATAATTACGAAACTAAAATGTGTTTAAATGAATGAAAATTATACAACATAACCTCAAATACAAGAATATTTTTGGAAACACACAAAATTGCTATGACAATAAAATTTTAACGCAAATCTTATTTTTTACGATAAAAATTTGTAATATTCTAATACTTTTCCTAACTGATCTTAGATTTATCCTTCCTTGATATTGTCCATTGAATTTTACAAAACACAGATCACCTGGCCATTAAGTTTTAGGTTAAAATAGTTTTAATATTTACTAAAGCATACACGTGCATTTTTTGATAATATATCTTCAGTGACGTCAATAAGGTCTGATTTCCTTAAGTATGTAAAAGTGTATGTAATATTTGTTTATTGTTTAACTGATGGGGAATATTTTTTATCATTCCATTTTTAAATTTGAAAGTTTCGAAACAAAAACACAGAGCATGACGTCTTCATTTTTAATCATAATTTTTTTTAAGGCTAGCAACTGTGTTTTGTAAAATTGAATAATTAAAAAATAAAATTGTAAAAATTCCGTTGCTCTTGTAACACCGATACTTCGCTTTTAATTCCGCTTGGCTATAATGTTAAATGTAAATTAAAATAATCAATGTATTACGAATGGCCTAAACTGTAGGAGGTATGACTTTGAGGCCTACGATAATTTTCCGTATTGTTATTTTACATTAAAAAGTTATCTTTTTTCAATTCTAATAGCGATTCAAGTAAGTTAATAACATTAGTGCTATGATTGCATTATTGAATGTTTGCAAAGTTTGTGTTTAATTATAAAAATAAATGCTTGTATATACATTCTTTTTTATTTTTCACCTTCGTCGTATGTATTTATAATCGATGCCTTGATATGAGTACAGAATTGTAGCTAATATAAGTATAAATGAATATTCTGTAGGTGTAAGATTAACACGAACTCAAAGGACAGCGGTTAGTTATCGTTTTATTGAAAAAAAATACATTTAGGGTAATAAATTACGTGTATTCTGTATGTGTACATTTATGTATGTATTTATGTGCATGTATGTGTTTTTTTTAATATATATATATAAAGAGGTGAAATACTTTTACGTATTCTACAAGCTTAGTTCTTTTGCTTGGTTATATCGGATTCAAACATTGACTGGTGCCATGTCAATGCTAATACCGACTAAAACCTTCCCTTTTTTCTCTTGTCTTTGATCCCTCATGGAAACCGCCGCTCGGCATTACTTCGAGAGGGGAGAATGCATGTATGTGAATGTATGTGTATGTATGTGTATGGGTATGTGTATGTGTATGTGTATGGGTATGGGTATGGGTATGTGTATGTGTATGTGTATGTGTTTGTGTATGTATGTGTATGTATGTTTATGTATGTATGTGTGTGGACGCAGGTTGCGTGTGTATACATATACGTATACGTGTGTATGCATGTATGTGTATGTATGTGACATTAAATATCAGTATGTAAGAGTGCCATTAATGTTTTATATTATCTTAAATTAACGTATAAGCAGGTGGCTGTATCAACTGACTCTCATCTGTACATGTTAAAGGCTTCTCATTATTGTATGAGTACATGGGGTCATTTCCAATCTCTTTGGTGCCCGCTGGTTCGATACCAAATTCCTTATGGTAGTTAATTGGATGCTGCTCATTGGTGTCAACTGAAATTATGTCGAAATGCTAGTTAGAAGTTTACTAAACCAATTAAGGGGAATATGGTTCGACTTCAGGTTAGTGGAATTGGGATGATAACAAGGTATGAAAATTAAAAATCTAATTAGTCCGTAAGTTAGGTAATTAAAAATATTAGACACGTATTTTTTTATTTTGTCGTATAATAAAACAATACTTAGATAAAACGAATCAAAGTTTAGGAGTGGGGACTAAAACGTCACTTCTACGTATAAAATGTACATAGAAGTGACGTCACGCGACATTTCAAATCAATATATCGTCGAAAGTATTCGTTTCTGTAAGAAAATAAAAAATACGTGTCTAATGATTTAAAATAATCTACCTGACGGACATTAAAATAGAAATTAGGCATCTATCCTATTATTAGTAAACATTAAAGCCGACCCTTTACTTGCCTCGTTGCTTTATTATAGTTGGTTTAGCAAAAAGTGAATTTTAAATATTTTTTCTAGTAAACGTCAAGAAAAAGCTTGCTTAATTATATGTATAACAAATAGATTACTGGGATAAAAGGCAAATAAAAACCTAACTTAAGATATATTGTGTAAGTTTTTATTTTGTTTGGCAACTGCCTTGCCTACAAGACATGTATATTAAAAAAAAAAACAAAAGTACTTACCAGTGTTAAAATATTGTCACGAACAACGAGAGCACTAACATCAGCTACAAGAAATGCGAAGAATACGTAGTGACCCATTTCTTTTTAATTTTAAAATATAGTTGAAATAATTATATTTTTTGTAGGGATATAATTATACTTTCTGACTATTCTCTTTGAATAACATAATAACAAACAAAGGCTGTTGTATTTATATTTGCCATTTTTTTTTGCCTTCAGGTAACATATTTTTAAGATCAAATAGATATAATAAAACCTTTTAAACATGTTGTTATTTAAGTACTATACGTAGTTTACGTAGCGTTTAGTGTCAATGACTCGTTATTGATCATATCATGAGTCGAATCCCGATCGTATCAATACTTAACAAAGTATTGTTTTTTATTTATTGATAAAATATGCAGTCATCACATAAAATATACGAAGAGACAAACTAAAATGTTTGACTGATAAATAACCATGAATATGCACAGGACATTGTCTTTTTTATAAAATACGAGCAGACGGGTCGGTGATGGTAATCGATCAGCGCCGCCCATCGACACCCGCAATACCAGAAGATTCACAGGTGCATTGCCGGCTTTTTAAAAAGGCCATATCTGGAAATGTCTCATTGTACTATTTGGTATGAAAAATATCTTTTCTATTTTTGTTATTTTAAAGACGTTGCACCACACTAGGATTTTCTCCAGTGTCGTGGATGCGTTTACAAACATACAAGTTAGTACAGACCAGAAACAACAATTTGTGCATCACACAAAGTATTGTTCCGTGCGGGAATCGAACCAGTGACACGTTGCACGGTAGTCAGTTGCCCAGCTACCGCACCAACCGTGCAGTCAATTAAGTAAAATACTTCTGCAATTAAACACATTTAAGTTTTTTCTTTTTTTTTAACATTAAATTAACGGAAAATATTCCGTTAATAAGAAAGTGTTACTTAAAGCTTCTTTTGTATATTTATTTCGATCGTGGTCGTGGTGTCAAGATAGCTTGATGGTAAATGTCATCTAGATGATATATGTTTAGCTGTTAGTTGTAAGTAAGCTAGTACAGCTATTCTGCTCATTTAATAACCTAATAGTGCAGAGAGCAGAGGAGGGCAGTGGTGGGGGGTGGGGTCAGAATCTTTCAGCGATAAGAGACGAACCTCGCCGCACTGGTTACCATTGACTTCGTGAATCAGACCTTCGAGGATTAAAGTATTATCTTTCTACGAAATTCCAATCCTTTGGGGACTACCATATCAAATATTAAATCTTGATAACATAAGGTTTTTCCCAATAGTGATAGTTTGTGATAACACGTGTATATAGATACTAGATAGTTAAATCTATCTAGTATCTAATATCTAGTGTTTAATACCTATTCATGTGTCCCTGTCTATATAGGGTGTTTTAAGTTTAATGACATAAGGTTATTTCAATATCTGCCTGCTGACCGCCTCGTTGGCCGAGTGGTCGCAAGTGCAACTGCCGGGCAAGGGGTCTCGGGTTCGATTGCCGGGTCGGGCAAAGTAATAATATAATATAATAATAAATCTTTATTCATTATAAGAAATTGGTCATATTACAGATAAACATCTTAATTTAAAATCAGAGATCACACTAGGTTTAATGCCTGTACTAGGAAGAATATCCTGTATCACAGGCGAGAGGAGCACTCACAATAATACTAATTCTAGGACAAGTTATTTATATAAACAAATTCCTTAACATAAGTAATCGATCAAAGGTAAAGTTGATTATTTAATATACATACATACACAAGTACAAAGTATAACCGGATTTTCAAGAAATCTCAGTGGTAGCACGGATCTGGAATTGTACCCGGTATATGACAGGCAGAGGTGCACATTATGCCACTGTATAATGTAACACCCACTTTTCACTATTTATGTTACGAGTCCCATATAATAGGGGGTGAGCCTATTGCCATATACCGGACACATTTCCAGACTCCGTGCTACTACTGAGGTTTTTACAAACCCAGTAGTACTTTGCCCGACCCGGGAATTGAACCCGATACCCCTTGCCCGGCAGTCGCACTTGCGACCACTCGGCCAATGAGGCAGACTTAGTCAACGGCATACTAAGTAATACCTTACCAATCCATGACAATAGTGTTTTTATAATTTAGGTCCTTTGTTATTATAATAGTTTGCCACTTATGATAAAGAATTTGTTGCCAAGTCCTTGAATGACATTCTGACATGCATGTATCAAATAATATAGATTATCGTTTATTTAAAAGTAGGTCTGGTCTAAAAATGGCGTCTTTATATTTATGATAAAATTTTTATCAATTTTTATAATTTTTTTGTTCCGATAATCATCTAATTAGGATACATGTCCAATGTTCTATTAAGATATGAAAAAATAATATTATTAAAAATGCAGTCTATTTACAAAAAATATAATACTTAAATTAAGACAAGTAAGCTTCTTAGATCCGAATATAACGCATTTTTAGATTTAAGGGGTTAAAATAAATCCTGGCGGTACGTATTGTCACAAAACGATAATATTTGTTTATGTGAATAGACCACAAGAATAGAGCGCTTTAACATGTTTATATTCTGAAAATATTAAGGATTGGCTTTAGACAGCTTTGCCTAGAGAAAAGTAAGAAAATCATAGGTTATGATAGGACTATGCTCTGCTAATGACCTATCCTACCATACTATACAGACTCTTCCACGTAAAAAGTATTGAATGGACTGATTATGAATTTCACTAATACTTACAATGGTTGAGACATACCCAATATTTGCATACCCAACGGGTAGAAAAAAGAGATACAATATGTAACAAAAATAAATAACACCTTAGTCACTAATTATGTACTACACCTCTGTTCACCAAATTAAGACATTTGATTTGATTTGATTTGATTTAATTTGACATAGAATAGACATACCCTGGAATAAGACACGCCACTATTATATCCCGAATATGTGGACAAAGCGACAAAGCGGCGGCTTTAGCTTTTTTTTTATTTAAGGGGGGAAATCGTCGAATGACTGCTCCCGCCTGGGTGAAGCGGGAGGAAGAGTCAGACTCTTACTGACTAAAAACCACCCCGTTCCTTCTCCTGCGCTTCGAGTTGGAACCCCGGTAACCCGTTAGGTTCTCCGCGACCTCGAATCGGCATCAGCCCTGTTGGGCCCCATCCGGGGTGATCTGATGGCTCTATGAGGCGCGCGCGGAACGCGACGTGCCGTACGCTCGGCTCTGTTTCTGGTCGGACTGGGAGCCACCCATGCTCGCCGTCCGCAGGCAGCGTTTCGCTGCCTCACGCACGAGGAGACGGCATCCCAATCCCCCCTCCAGTCCTTTACCGGCGGGTAGAGACTAGTAAATAATAAATTAAATAATCATAAGCAGTTCTATGGATTGTCCTAGCTAACACCTATGTGCCTCAGCTCAAGATCACTATTATTTTATCGATTTTTGATAAGTACATACTCGTACCGATTATGTACGCATAAAATAAACAATTAAAAGATTATCTTTAGATGAGACGGCTCGATTATAAACCGATTAATTGCTTCCGAATCATATAAATACGAAATTTCGGGTGTCATTGTATGTTATTCAACTTTTAAATTCTATTCAGGTAAGACATTACTTGAAAAATGTTGTTGTTTATTAAACACGTAATTTTTTTTATTGTTGCAAAACATACTTTTTTAATGAAACATAAAATATCATAACAAATTAATAACTTTGTTACTAATTAAAAAAACATGTCATTTTTCTGTTTATGGTAAATAGTGTTAATTTCTTTTTTGGTTTTTAGAAAAAAATCAAGATGAAATTCTTCATCGCTTTCGCGGTCCTCATCGCAGGCATCAGTGCTGTGCCATACCCTGCTGCCCACCCAAGTAAGTAAAACTTAATAGAAGTTAAAAAAAAACTACCAAGAAATACTCATAACTTTCTTACATTAATTTGTAAAGTTACATATATGATTTGTTTTTTTTGTAGCTATTGAAACTATTATATTTATTACTGCGATGTATTTAGTCATAAATGGAATTCCGACCTCATTTTTTATTAAATGCATATTTTTTTCTTTTTTACATAATATCACGCCTTTCGTCTACGAAGGGGTAGGCAGAGATGCACATTATGGCACTTAATACCACTGTACAATGTAACACCCACTTTTCACTATTTATGTATGTTATGAGTCCCATGTAATAGGGGGTGAGCCTATTGTCATATACCGGGCACTATTCCAGACTGCTACTACTGGGATTTTCTAAAACCCCAGTAATACTTTGCCCGACCCGGGAATCGAACCCGAGACCCCTTGCCTGGCAGCACTTGCAATCACTCGGCTAATGAAGCAGGTTTTCTTTATTAATAAATTATTATATTACTTGCAGTCGATTTTTCTGACGAGCGTTTGGTGACTGGTGCCATTGAAGACGCTATCAAAGACGTGAGCCAAGCCATCAAGGACGCTGGTCTGGACCCCTTCCACATCAAGAGAGAAGACTTCACCTACGAACTTCCAGTACCAGTGTAAGTAGACACCAAAATACTGTGTACTTATTAATTATGGAATACACTTCACTTGTGATCAGATTGGACCCATATAATTTAATAATCTTTAGAGGTATATATATAATTCTTCTGTGAGTGTGTATGTCACTGAACTTCTCTCAAACGATTGGACCGATTTTGATGAAATTTTTTGTGTGTGTTCAAGGGGATCTGGGAATGGTTTAGATTCACAAATCAACCCGGCAGATGGCGCTGCAGTCGATGTTTAGGTTATTTATCCTAAACAGCTGAACTAATTTGAATGAATTTTTGTTTATACATTCAAGTGGATATGCAGGACAACGTCGGTTGGGTCCGCTAGTAATAGTATGAAAATTTAAAAGAACTACAATTCTGCTTCCAATCTGACGTAATTTCATGGTAACAAATGGAGGTAAAATAAAAATTGGAACGCTCAAAACCTTAATTCTTTCAAATCTTAGTTAGGATGTAGCTCAGGATCTTGCGACCTGGACAACGTCAAAGTCTCCTAAAATTCATTTTAAATCTTACTTGTTGTAGTTTTTCCAACAAAATGTTGCTTGAAGAATGATGATCTCGATCTTCAATCACGAACACAGACACACAAACATACAGAAACACAGACACACGGATTCCTGTGTAATGCAGATTGTAAACTAAGGTTATTCTTCCAGGCTCTTCAAAATCGATGCCTTCATTGAGGAAGTTCTGAGCACTGGTCTCAGTAACATCAAGGTCAATAGACTGAACTACAGCGTTCTCCTCTCCCGACTCCAATTCGACATTGAGCTGCCTCTTATCCACTTTTCCCTTGGTAAGTTAACAAACTATTCAAGTATTTTAATATCCTGTAGGGCAAGCTATACATTTTTACGTTAAAGGCTATAAAGTTCAAAATGATTATGTTTCAAAGTTAATGTGTTTCTAATTTACTGTTTGTAATTTAAGATTCCTTTTTATTCGCCAAAACAGCCCACTTCATCCATGATGGATTTAACATAATTTATATACAGTATTCTGACGTCATTTAATGCTTGCAATATCATAATGACTATAAGTAGGTAGCTTTGTAATGTGATTTTAAATAGTATAGTATAATTTATTGCTTTATAGGTACTACTTAATCATACCTTTTCTAGAAGTTTATTTTTGACAAAATCTATTTTTTTTTTAATTTTTAGGCGATGCTAACGCTGACGCAGTTGTCTTCAGCAAGGACCATGACTTTGCTGGCTCAGGAAGGTAAGAGATACTATTTTGTCATGAGACATACATACATAACAATAATCAATTACCCCACCCCCTTTTCCAATCCCTGAATCCCTATCAAATCTCAAATTCCTTCAAATCCCTAATCGGCCGGGAACGCACTTATAACGCCTCTGGTGTTCCAGGTGTTCGTTTGCTCGTTTACCGGCTTATCCCAAAAAAAAAACATATTTATTTGATTTAAAAGTATTCGAAGAACCTTTCTTTTACTATTTATGTTTTGTGTCATTTAATACTGTTGCATTTTTTCAATCTCTACGTCATCGTCTGATTTCTCCTATTTAGTTACTATATCGTTTGTCTATTTCTTCTACAGTGTCAACATTGAGAGAATCCGATTTGTCGGTGAAGTTAGAGTCAACGTTGGTATCATCTCCGGTATCTCAATCCGCAGCCTCACCATCTCTTTCACCCTTAATGACATTAAGGTAAGTCTTCTTTTCCTTTGACATTTAAACAAAGTTAAATTGACTTTTGTTTTTCGATTTTCATCATTGCATTCATGATTGTAAAGTTCATTATCATTTGACTTATTTTTATTGTCATTTTCTTGCAGTCTGATGCCAATCTAGTCCTCTTCGGCAAGGACTACTCGGATGACTTCAACAACTTTGTCGGTGGCGTTGTTCCTAACACCATCAAGGCTCATTACGTAAGTTTTTTACACTATTATGGATTTTAGTAGATTTTCTTATTCAACTACATACTATATGGTTTATATCACAGATAAATGTGGACTTGCCCATGTCTACAAAGAGTCCATTTTACTTTAGCTAGCTCAAATCCAGCATAAAGTAATTAGGGTCTGATCCAATAATTTCTTTTCATTTTAATACTGAAATACTTAGCTTTCCTTCTCTAACTACTGTCTACACTGGAGGATGCCCATAAGGCGTAGTTGCTTAGTTTGCGAAAATAGTAAAAGATATATTATCAAAGATTAGTCTGATTAAGTGACTCATTTTAGAAAGTACAGATTGATTTATCTATTCTGATTTATCTATTCTATAAAGATCCAACAGAAAAGTGTCTCTTTATTAACGATACTTGTATTTTCCTATTGCAGAAAGAAATCAACAAACTACTGGAGATTGTGCTCCTGGACCTCATCAACGACAACTTGTAAAGTGGTTTAGAAGATTCTAGCATAGCTTAACGGACTGTAATATACTCATAGTATTAATGGTACAAGATCTATATTATAAATTACATTATGCATTGTTATATGAATAAATGTTTTTTGTAAGTTATTCGGTATTTATTATTCCTTTTTTGGCTTGATACACCTCAAACTTGATTTTCAAATTACATAAGAATTTGCTTGACTCGGGATCAAATTAAAAGATCCCGATTTTGTTGGCATACCGTGTAGCTGAATCGGGGTTTCTGTGAGTCTAATAGTTAGGACTTATAGTTTAATTCTGCTATTGAAATAAAATAAAAAAGCCTTTTATTTCTTGCATTCGGTTTAGAATACAGTTTAAAATAATATGGTAAAATAAAAGTGAAAAATGAAAACTATAATGTTTGCATCCTTGATAAAAAGAACAAAAACAGTGTTTAGCAAGAACCCCTCTTCATGTGAAGGTGAAGACCTCCTCTAAAGAATTCTAATTGTCTTTGTCTTGCGCTATTTGCAGCCAGTTGGGTAGAGCTATTTCTAATATTTCGTCTGCCCATCTTATGACTGGTCTGCTTTGGCCATTTAGCGACCCTTCCAGTTTGTTACCCTGCTAGTCCACCTCATCATCATCATCAACAGCCGGAAGACGTCCACTGCTGGACAAAGGCCTCCCCCTTAGCCCTCCACGTCGAACGACAACTCGCCACCCGCATCCACTGGCTCCCCGCAACTCTGGCGATGTCGTCGGTCCACCTAGCGGGAGGTCTGCCCACGCTTCGTCTTCCGGTCCGTGGTCTCCACTCAAGGACTTTCCTGGCCCATCTGCCGTCAGTCCTTCGAGCGACGTGGCCTGCCCATTGCCACTTCAGTCTGCAGATTTTGCGAGCTATGTCGGTAACTCTTGTTCTTTGGCGAATCTCCATATTTCGGACTTTGTCGCGCAAAGAAACCCCGAGCATAGCTCTCTCCATCGCACGCTGAGCGACTTTGAGCTTCTCCAGAAGGCCAGAGGTCAGGGACCACGTCTCGGTACCATACGTCATCACCGGCAACACACACTGGTTGAACATCCTGGTCTTTAGGCACTGAGGGATTTTCGATGAGAAGATTTCGCGTAACTTCCCGAACGCTGCCCATCCAAGTTGGATTCTTCGGGCGACCTCTTTGTCGAAATTGGACCTACCTAGCTGTATAATCTGCCCTAAGTATGTGTAGTGGTCTACAACTTCGAGGATATCGTTCCCAACGATGACCGGTACAGGTGCAACATGGACGTTTGACATGATTTTGGTCTTGTCCATGTTCATTTTAAGACCCACCTGTTGGGAGACGATATCGAGGTCGCTGAGCATGGTGTTTAAATCCTCCAGCGACTCCGCCATGATGACTACATCATCGGCGAAGCGGAGGTGTGTGATGTATTCGCCATTGATATTGATGCCCAGTCCACTCCAGTTTAAAAGCTTGAAAACGTCCTCCAATGCGTTGGTGAACAGTTTCGGAGAAATCACGTCTCCCTGTCTCACGCCTTTCTGCAATTGGATTGGTTCCGTGCTATCTTCCTGGAGTCGGATGCGCATGGTGGCGTTTCTATACAAACACTTTAGCACCTCGATATATCTGTAGTCGATATGGCATCGCTGGAGAGACTGCAGCACCGCCCAGGTCTCGATCGAATCAAAGGCTTTTTCATAGTCCACAAACGCCAAGCATAGTGGCAAGTTATACTCTCAGTCTTCTGTATAACTTGCCGCAGCGTATGAATGTGGTCTATGGTGCTAAAGCCTTTCCGGAACCCGGCTTGTTCGGGAGGCTGGAAGTCATCAAACCTGCGTTCCAGACGGTTCGTGATAACCCTAGAAAACAGCTTATATACATGGCTCAGAAGCGAGATGGGTCTATAGTTCTTCAACAAAGAGTTGTCACCCTTCTTGAAGAACAGAACCACTACACTCCTTTGCCATGCTTTCGGCGTAGTTCCTTCGAGAATGACGGAATTGAATAGTTTCTGGAGGACTAAAAGTATCGGTTTTCCACCCGCTCGCAGAAGTTCTGTTGTGATTCCGTCATCACCCGGTGCCTTGTTATTTTTGAGCTGTCTGAGAGCCATCCTAATCTCATACAGGCTGATGTCTGGGATATCCTCGGTATAGTGCCGTGTCAGTTTAGCTCTAGGATCCCGAGCTGTACCGACAATGGGTTGCCGTGTCGAGGTGTATAACTGTCCGTAGAACCTTTCAAGCTCTCTCAGAATCTCTGGCTTCGACGAAACGATGCTGCCATTTTCGGTCTTCAGTTTCGTCATTTGGCTTTGCCCAACAGACGAATTCCTTGCGAATACTTTTGCGCCCTGATTTCGCTCTATGGCATCCCTGACTCGTGCGGCGTTATATGCACGCAGGTCGCGTCGCATAGACTTTGAAATTCGCCTATTAAGTTTGCCATATCCAGACATGTCAACTGAAGACTGCAGCCTCATCTCGTGTCGGTCTTTCAATAATTTAAGTGTTTCTTTCGAGAGCTTTTGAGGTCTATTTCGGCGTGGGTTTTTGAAAAACTCTGAGCCCACCGTTTGGACAGTTTCCACTAACCCATTATTTAACTCGTCAATCGTTTCACACTCAGCCAGGCACTGGAAGCGATTATGCAGTTGGAGCTGGAACTGTTCGGGGTTCTGGACCTGGGCGCGACCAGGACGGAGTGTGGACCTCACCAGGCGTGACCTCTCCAGCTTGACATTGATATTCAGTGTGCCTCTGACAATACGGTGATCGCTGCCGGTTTTCACCTTAGCTATCACAGAGACATCACTGAATATGCGCTTGTCGGTCGCCATGATGAAGTCGATCTCATTTTTGGTGTAACCATCGGGACTTATCCACGTCCACCTCTTAGCTGGTCGCTTTCGGAAGAAGGAGTTCATTAAAAAGAGTCTCTCCCTCTCCATAAAGTCGACCAGCCGCTGGCCCCGACGGTTTCGCTGCCCATATCCAAATGGCCCCATTCTCAGCTCTTCGCCGTTCCGTGTGCCCACCTTCGCGTTGAAATCCCCCATGACAACGGTGAAGTGTGCTTCGGAGGTGTGTATGGCTTGGGAAATTTCCTCATACAGAGCCTCTACTTCATCATCGCAGTGTGTCGAGGTCGGCGCATATACCTGTATGACCTTCAGCGAATACCGGTGTGATATTCTGAGTATAAGGTACGCTACCCTGCTCGACACACTGTCAACTTTACTCACGTTGTTGACGAGGGACTTGCGGACGAGAAATCCGACACCACCCTGGGATTTTTGATCTCCTTCCCGGAAGAAGAGCAAGTTGCCGGAATCCAGGACCATCGTATCCTGGCCCTCTCTTCGGATTTCAGACAGTCCCAAGATGTCCCACCGCATTTTGCTCAATTCTTCCTCCAGCTCGACAATCTTCTCATCGGTCCGCAGGGTGCGGATGTTATGTGTTGCCAGGGCCAAAGTTCGTCGGGGGTGGTAGCGGTTCATCTGCCGGGGATTCTTAGCACCCCCTGCTCCGCCGTTACCCGATCCGCTACCAAGATCAGGAATAGCGGAGCTGCCGGGGACTGGGGGCCGTGTATTTAGGTTGTTTTCGTTCATAGTGAGGGGGGGGGGGGTTTGCCATAATCCCCACGCTTGGCAGGCGGCTTGGGGATCGCAGTTAGGTCACCGATATATTTATGGAATGCTGCAGCCCATTCCTCGGTGTCTGGTCGCAGTTTTAGGACGTACCCGGGTCCAGCTAGTCCACCTATCGTCCTCTAACCTTGCTATGTGCCCTGCCCATTTCCATTTTAATTTTTTAACGTTTTAGCTATTTAAATAACGTATTATAATAACTATTACCTACTAGCTTGTAAGAAAAAGCGGTCTTATTACTTTTTTTTTATTAATTGATTTTTATCTTGTTTGTGTAACACACTATGTGTCTCAGTGTTGTTATTTCTTTTCCTGCCACAGGCCCACAGGAAGAAATTCCAGTTGGAATATGCGGGGCCTATGTACTCTGTTTTTTATTATGTATTGTCCTCTGTGTTGAATGTGTGTACATAAATTACTAAATAAATAAAAAGCTCTGCTTTCACGCTCAGTCAGTAGCTCTTTGATTGAACAGCTGAATGTTTAATACAGGTCGTCAGTTAAAGGGGTAGGGCAGGTTGACTAGGTTGTCATTAGAACCGAGTTGCTGCTGTAAGTTAGATTGGGTTACAACTGGTCTAAGAAACCGAACCAACATCACATAAACTTCTATCTGTCAGGATTATTCTACGATGTCACTTACTATATATATGGGCTAGGCAATCAATGAATAGCTTACTAAACTAGTTGACTGCGCCATGTCCTGTGTCATAAGTGATAATTAAACTTACCTATGTTACAAATTATTACACTGTACCTAATCTTAGTAAATCCTCGACTATTTTATTGTTCTACTAATGACTGCTTACTATTAAATGATTATAAAATTGCATTTGAACTAATTCAGGAAGGTTTGGGTCTACGGTCTAAGGGTCTACGTTAAGACCCTTTTTTAAAGGGGGAAAGGATTTTTTTAAGTGGTAAAATCATCGAATGACTGCTCCCGCCTGAGTGAGGCGGGAGGGAGTGTCAGACTCTTACTGACTAAAAACCACCCCGTTCCTTCTCCTGCACGACGAGCCGGAGCCCCGGTAACCCATTAGGTTCTCCGCGACAGGGGGAAAGGATGACGGGCAAACATGTATGGTATGTATGTACCTACCGACCAATAACAACCAAACGTATGTCGTTGGAAAGCTCTTTTTATGATTGTCATTTGTTATTATGGGGGCTTTTACAGTTACTTAAATGACTGCGTCGTTGGCCGAGAGCAAATGCGACTGCCGGGGTCACGGATTCAGTAGTAGCACGGAGTTTGGAATTGAGCCCGATGTATGAAAATAGGCTCACCTCCTATTACATGGGGCTTAAAACATAAATAGTGAAAAATAGGTGTTACATTAAGGCATTAAGTGCCGTAATTTACATCTCTGCCTACCCCTTCGGGAATAAAAGGCATGATGTTAACATTCATGATCATTTAAGTAACAGTAACATAACAATGTTACTTAAATTATCTATTAAACAAAGGATAATGCGCACCAAATGTATAGAGTCTGGACCCACACCTCAATAGCAATATGTGTTACACCGTTGGATACGGCTTCTTAAAAGGAACTATTCTGCCCGTCATCCTTAACGAATGTCTTATTCCATCCTGGGTTAGGCTCCTGTTGGAGAAATAACATCACCCTGTTGCAGCCCCTAGTGTAGCTAAATGATAATGATCTAATCCTTGGATCCATTTCTGATCCATCATCATCATCAGCAGGCAAGGCTGATTGGCGATTTTGAGCTAATAATTTCAGGATTTCGGGAAAACTTTAATGCTTATTGTGGGTTCGATTCCCTCATGAAACAACTTGGGGGTGTTCCACAAATTGAGTGTATAGAATAGACGTACCTATCATAGGAGAAAATCATAGATAAGTAATAATATTTCCGCGTGTCGTATAAAAATGAACATTGAATAAAATTTGATAAAAAAATTAATTAAAAAAAATTTTAAGACAATCCGTGTATCGACGAACACGACCGTATTGCTGTAATGTAAATAAGACACTAAAAGATATGATCTAGGATTTAATCATTGACCTACATTCAAATCTAATTATTGTAATAAGTTAACACTGTAATTCATAGATAAACAACAATGTTATTTACCTACATGTTTAACACACAGGTGGCAAACCATCCGATTGATAAAAATCTATGCATAGAAAAACCCCAGAAAATCCTATCATAATTCACTGATAACAAACAACATCCGACTGATAATTTCATTCAGATAATTCAATAACTAATGTAATAATTAATAACTGCAGATTATCTTCAGTGATCAAGGAAAATGCATGATATGAATTGTTTTTACTGAATGATTTAATACTTATCTAGATTGTATCTATTGTCAGTAAGTATGCGAAAAGACGTCAGAGCCGTAAATCCCCCTGGATTGTTAAGTAAACACACTATGACATTGATAGATCACCTTCGAATATCATTAACATTCTTTATATCTTTAAGTTCTATCTAAAGGGTGGCCTTTGGCCTGCAGTGGGACGAACATGGCTAAATATTCTATCTTAATTTATTATACGTTACCAGAAGGTCAGTCTTTCTCAATCCCCAAATCTTTAGTCCCCAAATAACCGGCAATGCACGTGTAACTTCTCTTGCATTGCGGGTGTCGATGGGCGGTGCAGATTACTTATCATTAACTTAATCGATAGAAAATATTTTATTCCCAATTCAATTCTATTCTAATTTCTACCTAATAAATATCCTTTGTAATAATCACAGACTAATCGAGGCCTTTTGCTGTGGAATGGTACTGACAAAAAGTAAACGTTTCTTTCATGAAGGTTTGATGGTTTTTTTTTATTTAACAAGGCTCCAAATCTCCAATTTCCAAAAGGCCGGCCAAATACTACGAGTTTTGTGTTTTCTCGGTGGATTATAGTGCTTGAATGCTATTTTTTTTAAGGGGCGATAATCATCGAATGACTTCTCCCGCCTGGGCGAGGCGAAAGGGAGTGTCAGATTCTTACTGACTAAAACCACCCGTTCCTTCTCCTGCACGTCGAGCCGGAGCCCCGGTTACCCGTTAGGTTCTCCGCGACTGCTTGAATGCTATTTGGCTCGTACATACATATCACTGTTCTGTTCAAGGCTGTATAAAGTCCTACTCATAATGCTAATAGTCATTATGAGTAGGACTTTTTGTTTTATAATCGAGACTTCGAGATTATCTAATGTTACAGAACTCCTTTTTAAAGTAATAAAATTAACCAGACCCTTTTTTACACGTTGGAGAGCCATGCTTTGGTACTACTTACTGGGCTGACTCGAACGGAGTGTTACCATAACTTCATAGAAAACCGAAGTGAAACAACGCTTGGGTTTTGTTTTGTCGTGTAAGTGAGTTTATCGGAGACCTAATCCTGCCCTCTTTCCCAATTCTCAATTCGAATTATTTTTAAAAAGGGAATTTTTTACTGCACCTCTATTTAAAAATTTAAGCAAACCAAATTTCTCCACTAATAACCTACTGCATATCAAAAAATGAACCGTACAACCAAAATACTGATTAGCACACAAATTGTTGAATATTAGGTTAGGTTAGGTTTTGTTTTTTTTCACGACCTTAAGATTATGGGTTAGGTTAGGTTAAGATTTTGTTGCACTCGAAGAACTATTGGATTTACTTTTAGTTAAAAGATAGTCATTCAGTAAAACAGTTAAGCTTTAAAGATCTAACAGTATAGTATAATTGATTTATTTGATGAGCAAATTTAGTGTGCAATTCAATATTATTTTTGTTGGTAATTTCGAACATTTTGTTTGGCAAAAGGGGAATTTACAGTTATGGTATTAAATACCACCATTTCTAAAAGGCTGAACTTGAATCTCCTATGGTTTTGCAAATGACCATGATCAGCGCCGATACCTTACCAGCAGGTGACCTGTGTGCTCATTTACTATCCTATCCCATAAAAGAAGTATTCTTTATCAATACAGGACTCCCTCAAACCTCTCCTTGCATTATGCTTAAAATTATTACAGTGCACACACATAATTACCTCGTAATAAACAATTAAGTAAGATATGTATAAGATAATATCTTTTTTGATGTGACGTCTCGATTAGTAATCGATTAATTGCCTCCGAATCATATAAATACGAAATTACAGCCATCATTGCATGTTATACAATTTTTGACATTGAATTAGGTAAGTCATTATTTGGAATAGGTTAACGAAAAATAGATTTAAATATAAATATACAATTTTTTTTTTAAGAAATGTAACAATCATCCTTTGTTTTTAACGAGTATTTATGGTTATTATTTTTTATTATAGATAAAAAATAAGTTCAAAATGAAATTCTTCATTGCTTTCGCTGTCCTCATCGCAGGCATCAGTGCTGTACCGCACCATGACATTAATTCAAGTAAGTGAAGCTTACATATATGTAAAAGAAAATGAATAAATTTGTATTTGACTTAGGTACTATTTATCAAAATTAAAACATATAACATTATTTTATTATGCATTATGTTAATTACAGTCGATTTTTCTAACGAGCGTTTGGTGACTGACGCCATTGAGGATGTCATCGAAGAAGTCAGCCAAGCCATCAAGGACGCTGGCCTGGACCCCTTCCACATCAAGAGAGAAGACTTCAACTACGCACTCCCAGTACCAGAGTAAGTATCTTTATTAGTCCCATTCAAATTTCCATATCAACATTCCTCGAATCCCGAATCCCAAAAATGCCGGTATTTCCTTCTTATTTTTTCAAAAAAGAACGTTGCTCCATACTAGTATTTTCTCCTGTGTCGTGGGTGCGTTTACAAACTTACAAGTTCACATACATATTACACCCAGACCCAGAACAACAATTTGCGGATTACACAAAGAGTTGCTCCGTGCGAAACGTTGTGCGGGAGCCGGTTGCCCAATCACTACATCAAACTTTTTGGGACCCGGCCAGGGCTGTGTCTAGCGTAAAGCCATACTGTAGCCCGGCTCGAAGTAGGAGTTAGAACTGGGTGGTTATAGTTAGTAAGAGTCTGATACACCCTTCGCTTCGCTCAGAGCACGGGGAGCAATTTGACACTTTTGTATCCCAAAAAAGCTGGTTTGTGCCCACACGGTGAAATATAACGCTAACTCTCACATTTACATCAACAGCCTTTAAGTGCCCACTGCTGAGCAAAGCCTTTTCTCACACTGAGAAGGTTTGAGCATTAATCACCACGCTTGCTCAATGCGGGTTGGCGATTTCAAACTTATAATTAGATATTATTATAAGTCCAGGTTTCCTCACGATGTTTTTCCTTCACCGTTTGTCAGTGGTGTCTAAATAATCTTAGAAAGTACATATAATTTGGAAAAAGTCACATTGGTACATACTTGCCGTTGGTAGGTTTCGAAACCGCACCTTCATGCATGAGAAGCGGACGTCTTAAACCTCCGGGCCAACGCGTCTTACATTTAGATATTATTATAATAGGGTAGACAACTAATTTTTATTTTAATGTCCGTCTGATAGATTATTTAAAAACATTAGACACGTATTTTTTATTTTCTCACAGAAACGAATAGTTTCGAAGATATATTAAAAATAATAAAAATAATAAATCTTTATTCATAATAACAATGGCCAACAATGGCAAAAAATATCTTAGTTAAGCGACAAGATCTTAAAAATTAATATGCCTATACTAGGAATATTCCTGTGTCACAGGCGACAGGAGCTCTAAAATTATGTTAATGATAAGACAAGTTATGTATAGTTTAAACAAAATATTTAACACAATTTTCAATAGTAAGGTAGGATTGTTTATAAATATACTATCTATTATATATATACATACATACACACATACCTATATAACATCACACCTTTTATTATTCCCTGAAGGGGAATAAAAAGTTGTACCTACATAAGTTATTTATTAATAATCAATAACATATAGACTTAAATAAACCACATAAGCTATATTGAGAACTAGATAAAATTAAACGCTATGCTGTCGAGTATTTTGAAGCTGCTGCAGAAACACAAAAAACTAGGTCAGAGTCCATACGGTCACTCACTTTTTGTCACAGTTCGATCAATTGTGCTTGCACAGCAATAAATTGATGAGTAAGCCAACCTGTTAATATGCAAATGTTGTACAAGAAATGACTAATCAAATCTGACTTAGAGTATATCACTTTATGTGCCTTCATAGTCGATGGAATTAATATATCTTTGCTCGGCTACCTTTCTGGCTGGGCACTCTGCGTCTCCTGTCCTGTGAGTGTTGGGCTTATTAAAGCGCGAGCATGTTGAACATTTAGGGAAATCTATTTTCTTAGTGCAAGCGGATGTAATGTGTCCTACTTCTCCACAATGGCCACACACTGAGTTGAGGTCCCGGCATGTCTTTGCCGCGTGGCCATACTGCTGACATTTATAGCAACGCGTTACTAACGTAAAGTCTCTGACAGGGCAAGACGTCCAGTTTATATAGAGTCTCTCTTGCGATATAAGGGCTTTTCGAATTTTGGCCGGAACTTCTATGATGTAATTACAAGTCGGCGCGTCCTTCTTGCCAGATTTATGACTTAGCTTTAAAGTTGTTAGAAAGGACTCCATGGTCAACTCTGGGAACTTGCCAGCTATGTTTTGCTCGTATATGCACCTGAGCACATCAGCATCAGATAAAGCAGAAGGCACTCCTACGACTGTGATTCTCGGATTTCTTTTCTTGGCTTCATCGGCAATAAGTCCAGATAACGATAGAGCTAGTGCTTCTTTAATTTTCTTTGCATCTTCTTTAGACTCCGTGCTAATAATGACGCCTCCGTTATGAATTTTACGCACACCACGCACATGCAGCTGCAATTGGTCAGGGCGTATGATTTTTTGCACTAGACATTTTGTTTCATCGCTAGTTGTTGATTTATTTTGTGGGTAAATAGCAGTAGAGGTCAGATTCTTAGGTCGCACGAAGTCAGTCCCCTTCTTTACCATATCAGCAAATGAAACGTTACCTGTTGATGTCGAGTCCTTGATTGTCTGTTTGATGTCTGAAATTTGTTCCACAAGGTCCTGTTTTTCTCTCATCTCATCTATAATGTTGACGGCAATACGAGCTTGCTGCTTCAGAGCTTGATATAGGACAGCCATTTGCGAGACATTAGCACCAATTTTTCTACTCAGATTTGATATCTTAAGTTTTTGGTCCGAATTAAGTTTGCCCTCTGTGGCAATAGTACACACTTCATGTAACTGGTCTTCAATGTTTGACATCCAATTTTGAATATCGGGCGTCGACACAGCTTCAATCGAGAAGTCAGAATTACGGCTGCTCTTTAATGGTGAGGCACAGGAAGCCAGATTACTCGGGGTTTTATCCATTTTCAAAAACAATTAAGTTTGTGTTTCCATTATTTAAAACTTGGTATAACAATAAGAAAAATAATAAAGTAGGTCACTATTATTGCATGTTTTCAATATTTCAACTAAGCACGTCTGTTCACTTCGAACGTCAATCTAATCATTTGTCATCATATTGATTTGAAATGTCGCGTGACGTCACTTCTCAGTACATTTTATACTAAGAAATGACGTTTTAGCCCCCACTCCTAAACTTTGGTTCGTTTTATCTAAGTATTGTTTTATTATACGACAAAATAAAAAAATACGTGTCTAATATTTTTTCATTACCTAACTTACGGACTAATTATATTTTTAATTTTCATACCCTGTCATCATCCCCATTCAGGTTACAATATAACTGTTATTTTTCCAGGCTCTTTAAAATTGATGCCTACATTGATGAAGTTCTGAGCACTGGACTGAGTAACATCAAGACCAACAGGCTGTACTACAGCGTTCTCCTCTCTCGTCTCTACTTTGACCTTGAGCTGCCTCTTATTCACTTTTCTCTCGGTAAGTTAGTTTAACAAACTATTTCGTCCATTTTAGCATGCTTTTAATTGAAAGGACTGCCTCGTTGGCCGAGTGGTCGCAAGTGCGACTGCCGGGCAAGGGGTCTCGGGTTCGATTCCCGGGTCGGGCAAAGTATTACTGGGTTTTTCAAAAATCTCAGTAGTAGCACGGAGTCTGGAAATGTGCCCGGTATATGGCAATAGGCTCACCCCCTATTACATGGGACTTATAACATAAATAGTGAAAAAAGTGTTACATTGTACAGTGGCATTAAGTGCCGAAATGTGCACCTCTGCCTACCCCTTCGGAGATAAAAAGGCGTGATGTTATGTTATAGAAAAACGGTTCGGAAAGGAACTTCCAAGAGTTTTGTTAGATTACAAACGGCACCTTGTAGGTGCATTTTTGGTTAGAGAAACGTCCCCGTGTCTTGAACTTTATAATCCCTTATAAAGTAGGTTGTATTACAAATAAAATAATACTTCAGCTTTCTAATCGTTTCCAATTTTAGGTGGTGCCAAAGCTGACGCAGTTTTATTCAACCACGACCTTGGCGCCAGCGGCTCTGGAAGGTGAGTGCAAAAATTTTCTTCACGGAACATACTATTGCAAGATTTACAAATAAAGACTGTAACATAGGTTTATGATATTCTTATATAAGAGATTTCAGTTGATATTTGAAGGGCTATCACAACCTGTACTCTCCGTATGTTGGATCTATAATTAATTATCGTAAAATGCCAGTGATAATTCAATACAGCAGAGTACAGAGTACAGCGTATACATATAATACTCTAGCATTTCTTAAATCTATTCTGAATTTTTATATCGGTAAGGTACACATGCTAAAAGGCGTTCGATTGAGCAAGCTCAATAATGTTCAAATATTGAACACCTGTCGATTCACAAACATGCCTAAAATGAACATTCCGACACATACGGTATTAAGTGACAAGTGATTAATTAAAGCATGCTTTCGTGCTACAAAGCATGTATAACAGTACCTTTATGACGTGTCTTATTCTTCTTTACAGCGTCGACGTTGAGAGTATCCGTGTTGTTGGTGACATCGACATTTACTTGGGCATCATCACTGGTGTTTCTGTCCAAAGCATCGACATTTCTTTCACTTTGGGTGACATTAAGGTAGGCTTACATATTTATTTTTAGCATTCATTTTAATGAAATTCTTAGACTACATTTTATTCTTTTGGAAGTTAATTTGCATCAACATCTACTACGAGCTTCGTTTTACTATTGCTTTTCGATTTTCGTCATTGAACGCATGAAATTAAAGTAATTTTTCGAGTAACTTATAAATATATTTCTTTTTTCCCAGTCTAATGCCAACCTAGTCATCTTGGGCGAAGACTACTCCGATGACTTCAACAACTATGTCGGAGGAGTCGTTCCTGAGACCATCAAGGCTCATTACGTAAGTTTGTTTTGCTTTTTGATAGATTTTCTTTATCTCCTAGCTTTAAGGTTCATTTTCCAAACGTTGTCAAAATCAGTCCTAACATAATTTTAAATACCCAGATCGGGCTGCTTTAGGACGCTATTGCTTAGTTTGAAACGACAAGGGAATTATAAGTACCTATGATTCGATAAAACGAAGAAAGAACTTGCACGGTTCTCACACATAATTCTCACAAATACATATTATCTGGACTTTAAAAGAGACAGACTGAATTTGTTTCGGCATTTCTTCTCAGAGTAGTCAGTTAGGAAATGTCGACCTCATTGTTCGCTTGATAAAATTGACGTGTAAAAGTGCTGCCTTGTAGCCTATTTGCAGAAATAAATTCACTTGTTTCACTTGAAGAAGTTCTCTTGTTCAATTATTATTTTAAAGGTATAAAGAACTTAGATAAGAACAGAAGCAAATTATTCTCAGTTTAAGATTGTAATCTAAGCAACAAGGAAGGAGATTTATCTAAATTCCCGCACTATGTACTTATTCTTACTATTTATTTTTTCCAGAATGAAATCAACGAACTCTTTGAAATTGTGATCCTGGACCTGATCAACGAACATCTGTGAAATGATTTATGAAACTCTAGCATAGCTTATGACACCAGATCTATACTCGCCTAGTTATAATTATCAATAAATGGTTCTTTTTGTAAGTCTATCTGTGTTGTTATTGTACTAGATAACTTATTTCTGGGGCTCTGGAGTTGGTCTACTAAGAGGACTCAGTGCCTCCTTCAAGTGTGGATGGTGACCACCGGGGAGGCTTTAATGAGGTAAAAATCCCATCCTCCCTAGTCTTTTTCCCCAAAAAGCTAGGTGGTTTTCGAAGGTTTCTCCCCGTCAACAAAGATATCTTATTCCTGTTGTCTCAAGTGGTAATCTTTTACTATTATATAAAGCGTTTTTTTTTTGTTTGTTTGTTTGAACGCCCTAATCTCCGTAACTACAAGTCTGATTAGAATAATTCTTTTTGTGTCGGATAGCGCATTTATCGAGGATGGCTATAGGCTATAAAACATCACGCTACGACCAATAGGAGCTGAGCAGAGCGTGTGAAACTGTGCGGAAGTAGCTAGTCATCTATATAGGGTTGCTGAATTTCAAACCTCCAGTGTTGCGTGTTTGCATGTATGGAAGTTCATTAACAAAATATTAGTCCTTACTTGTCCTTATTTAAGCCTACACGAGATATAAAATTGTATTAGTACCAAACTTCAATAGGATGTCATAAAGTCAGTCATATGCGTGGCGTAATCAATTTGAAATGAGAAATGAAATATACAATTTTATTACGAATCTCAAAGTGAGAACTAAAAGATCATTAATATTTTTACTTCTGATTTCTAACAACTTCACTTAACGCCTTTTATCCTTGAGGGTAGGCCGAGGTGCACATTACAGCACCTAATGCCACTGTACAATTTAACACCGGCTTTTCACTATTTTATGTTATGAGTCCCATGTAATAGGGGGTGAGCCTCAATAGGTGATCCATATACCTGGCACAGTACAGACTCCGTGCTACTACTGAGATTTATTAATAAAACCCAGAAATACTTTGCCCGACCCGGGAATCAAACCCGAGACCCCTTGTCCGGCAGTTGCACTTGCGACCACTCGGCCAACGAGGCAGTCTAACAACTAAATATGAAACATATTGAGCAATTGAGCTCGGTCAAGCAAAATACATAATTCTTTATTCGTTTTTCGAAATTGTACGGGGCCAATAGATTACTTTTTTAATTGTTCACGTACAGGATGAATTTACTGAAATGGGATAAAAAATTAGGTTTTTCGTGCCATTTTCAATTATTTGTTCAAAACTTCTATCAATTTTCACTGATAAATAAATTATAAGTTTAAATCTGTAATTTATATGTCTACTCAATGTGTGTTAATGGTGCGGTTGCTACCATCATGTGCCACCGTTGGACATTAATCAGCTACTAATTGTTTCACTTCGATATATAAAGCAGATACATAACCCACGTTGAAAATAGAACTGTTTTTACAGTTAATAACAGTGCAGTGTAGAAAATACTTTCAAATGACCACGTAGTTTTTGTTTTGCAGACTATTTTAAAGACTGTGCTATTGTTTTGGTCTTGTGTACTTCCTGGTAAGTAATAATCAGGGTAACTTACATTTTAAACTGTCAAACACCAAGCGGTCACCGGTGACCGCGACCTATTGTTCTTTAATTGTGTCTATAAAACCGGTACTCGACGAGTTAATGTACGTTCCTGCCATGTAAAATGGGATTCATTATTATCATCAGCCTGTATTCGTCCACTGCTGGACATAGGCCTCTCCAATGGCACGCCACTGAGCTCGGTCTTCAGCTCTTCACATCGAACCACTACTGCTGATATATCGTCACTCCACCGAGCTGGCGGGCACCCTACACTACGTTTACCTAAACGCGGTCTCCATTCTAGAACACGTTTACCTCACAAGTAATCGGGTTTTCGACAAATGTGACCGGCCCACTGCCACATTTTTTTTTAACACTAGGATTATCTGCTGTATCGTGGGTGCGTTTACAAATATACAGGTTCACATACACATGGCACCCAGACTCGAAACAACAATTTGTGGATCACACAAAGTGTTCCGTGCGTGACTTCAGCTTATTAATCCTTTGGGCTATGTAAACTTTGGTTCCCTGTCGGATCACTTCTTTCCCGATTCGATCCTTCAAAGAGACTCCTAGCATAACCCCTAGCGAGATACTCACTGCGCGACCTTAAGTTGGTGTACCAATCGCATTGTCAGTATCCACGTCTCGGCTGCGTATGTTAATACTGGTAGGACACACTAATTGATGACGTAAAATAGGATTAAAATCAATTATAAAAATATCAGCTGTAACATGACAAGGTGTTCGTGTTGTTCTGTTTTTGACATGTTGTTCTGTAGAGAAACCAGCCTAGTGGATAATTTTATTTTATTTTACAGTATTTTAAAGGAAATCAGAATGAAAGCCATAGTAGTCATCACCATATTCGTCATCAGCGTCACCACAAATGATGCTTTTCGTGCTTACAATGAGACTGAAGGTAAGGTTCTCGATCATTGCCCGATTTTTTTCAATTTTTTTTCTGACTCCAAAAAATGATGTTCTAATATAGTCAGATAATTTTTATCTAGCCTTATCCAGACAAAATACTTATATACTAACATATGATGGTGATGAAAAGACTATCTTGTAAATGGATTAAGATCAATAAAGAAGCATCCTTGGAACAGCCACAGTCACATAGACCCATACAGTTGTCGCGGAGAACCTAACGGGTAACCGGGGCTCCGGCTCGACGTGCAGGAGAAGGAACGGGGTGGTTTTTAGTCAGTAAGAGTCTGACACTCCCTCTCGCCTCACCCAGGTGGGAACAGTAATTAGATGATTACTGATAAAAAAGACCTGAAGTAATTAGATGATAAAAAAGACCCATACAGTTAGAGTATATTCGTCTCCTAGACTCCAAGTTCTTAATGGTTTTTGAGAACTGGATAGCATTTTTTGTTAAATTGATTTAGTTGTTAATTTGAAAACTAATTTTAATAGTTAGGTTAAAACCTAATTGAGATAAACCTTAACATACTTTTAAACTATTTTTTTAATATAAGCAATTCGATCTCTTTGACTGGATTTTAGTGTTACATTGTTCTCGCACAATCCAAACAACAGAACTATGTAACTAGAGAATTGTATTGTGAACCTGATTGAAAAAAAGTAACCTATGGAGTTTCTTGCTAGTTCTTCTCCATAGGAATCTACACCATAGAATGAGAAAATAGCTTCACTTATAATTTTTTGTTGACGTTCAAAAGTGCCTTTCTGGTCTAATTGAAATAAATGATTTTGACTTTGACTTTGCAACTTTTTCTTACAGTCGATTTAAATGATGAACGTGCCATGGGTGGGTACATCAAGAATGTTATCGCTGACATGGCCCAGTCTATTAAAGATGCTGGGTTTGATCCTTTTTATATCGAGAGACAAGAATATATCTACCAGCTGCCTGTGCCAGTGTAAGCTCATTGTTATTTATTTTGATAAACTTTATATTAATATGATATCTGTCTGTAGTAAAGACAGTGTGGGAGAGCCATGTTTTGGCATGAATGGGCCGCCTCGGCCGGAGTGATACCACGGCTTCACAGAAAACCGACGTGAAACAAAGCTTGCGTTGTATGAGGTTACCAAAAGACCAATTACTCCTTCCCGTCCCCAATCTCCCCAAGCCCTGAATCCCCCACAATCCTCAAATTCCTAATCCTTAATAGGCCAGTAAAGCACTTGTAACGCCTCTGGAGTTCCAGGTACCCATGGGCGCCGATTGCTTACCATTAGGTGATCCGTCTGCTCGATTACCGGCTTATCCCATAAAAAAGCATTCTCTGTTACTGTTAATGGGTTAATGTAAGTTACAGTACCGTTTTTAATGATTTTTTTCCAATGAAGCTCCATTTACCCCAGACGGAACCCAGACGGCTGATGTTGATTTTATTCATCAGTTAATTGTCATTCAGAATTTTTCGTAATACAAACCCAATACATTCATCTTTTTGTCGTCTTAATTGTAAATATCTTTAAATTATAGTGCTTCAAAATAATTTTCAGAAAACCTTTATACCAAATCAAGCACTAATCACGAAAACTTTGAAGGCATTTTTATTCCGTATTGTACATCTGTAAAACAATAATTTTATTTTTATTTATTTATTTATTTAGGTCAGCCAACGGCTGTTTACACATCATATTACAACGAATCGGTTTAGATACAATATGCATTTGCTAGTGTAACAGTGGTGTGTAGTAGTGATGATGATGATTAATCAATTAAAGGCTAATTTATATGTTTTTTTTTTAATTTCTCATACAGGATCTTCAAAAACGTCATTTTAATCGAACAATTACTGAGCAATGGAATCAGTAACATCGTGGTTAACTCCGTCAACTACAGTCTGCTCGCTTCTCGACTCACCTTTGATATTGAACTGCCACTCATTGATATGGGTGTTGGTAAGTAAAACCTATTTGGAATTTAGCTATCTGCCTCAGATTTGCCTGGGTTTTCTCCGATGTTCCCTTTTAACCATTTGAACGTATCGAATTCCTGTCTGTCGTGGTGGCTCGGAGGTTTAAGACGCCTGCTTCTCATGCATGAGGGTGCGGGTTCGAAACCTATCAACGGCAAGTACCAATGTGACTTTTTCCGAGTTATATGTGCTTTCTAAGATTATTTAGACACCACTGACAAACGGTGAAGGAAAAACATCGTGAGGAAACCTGGGCTTATAATTTCTAATTATAAGTTTGAAATCGCCAACCCGCATTGAGCAAGCGTCGTGATTAATGCTCTAACCTTTTTAATTTTCTAATTTTCGTCTATTTTATATTTATATTATATTTTTGGTCATTTATTTTTATTAAAATAGATTGCCTCGTTGCCCAAGTGGTCGCTGGTGCGACTGCCGGGCAACCCCTTGCCCCTTGGCCTCGGGTGCAATTCCCGGATCGGGCAAAAGTACTACAGAGTTTTAAAAAAAATCTCAGCAGTAGCACGGAGTCTGGAATTGTGCCCAGTATATGGCAATAGGCTCACCCCCTATTACATGGGACTCATAACATAATGAAAAGTGGGTGTTATATTGTGCAGTGGCATTAAATGCCGTAATATGTACCTCTACCTCCTCCTTCAGGGATAAAAGGCATAATGTTATTTGTTAAAATAGATTGGTTTAACTTTATTCATGGGCACCAAATTGAAACATGGTGACTCGCCAAATATCTGGACATGAGTATTAATTTGACGTTTATAGTTATACGTAATCATGAGTAGGTTAATTATCTATTCAATAGTACATTTAAGTCTTGAAAATCTAGTTCATTTATTTATTTTTTTGTTTAGATGCTGGCTCAGTGGAAACCACTGTTTTTGGGAGAAACTTTACAATGAATTCGTCTGGAAAGTAAGATCATTTTAATTATTATTTTGCAAAATGAAAATAAATCTTCATCACTACATAGTATAAAACAAAGTCGCTATCCGCCGTCTGTCTGTCCCTATGTATGCTTAGATCTTTAAAACTACGCAACGAATTTTGATGAGGTATTTTTTTAATAGATAGAGTGATTCTTAAGGAATGTTTATATATATAATACATGCATATTGCACCCGTGCGAAGCAGGGGCGGGTCACTAGTTAATAATAATCATACAGTAAATAAAGTATACAGTATCGTATGAAAAACTTATCCATACAACCAAAAATAACTGGAGTGTCTGTTTGTAATATTAAAATCACCGCTTTTTATTACACGCATATGAATATACACACGATACCTATATCAAATAAACATTTTTAAATATTTTCGTCTGTCTGTCTGTTTGTACCGGCTATTCTCTGAAATGGCTGTACCTATTTTGACGGAACTTTTATTGGCAGGTAGTTGATACACTTAGGAGTGACATAGGCCATTTTTATTTTTGGAAATTGAAACAAAAAAGAAGTTATGTCTTAAAACTCATATTCTAAGCGGACGAAGTCGCAAGCAACTGCTAGTGTTCTATAAAATCGTGATGTTACAAAAAGAAGAATGAAAATATAAAAAATACAGTTGAATAGATACTAACAGTATACATAACATTTTTTTATCAGTACTCTATGAATAAAAATTTTAACTGCTACGAAATTTATTGATATACCTCTATATTGGTGATAAAGTATTGTTTTGTTTAGCTAAAACTGGCTAAATACTCGTTCGATTGATCACTTATAGACAAATCCAATGATAATACTGATTAGAAACCAAATCTTATTGATAAAGTTATTGAAATAATCAATAACTAGAATAAAATTTATTAATTTAATAATATCAGATGTAATAATTTACAGTGTTTAAGAAAAATGTGTAAAAAATAAGTTATCAGTACCGCGCAGCGCCGATTGGCAATATTTCAATAAAATACATCATTTCTGTAATACCCTCAGCATGTATACAGAGATGTTCTTATAGATCTACGATTTTCCGTTTGTTTTGTAATTAAAACCCAGTGCAGCTTCAAAAGCCTATTGCTGATAAGTACTTAAATCAAACGCATGGTTTCTTCCTTGCTACATAGTAATGTTTTGTGACATATAGCACAGAATGTTTCTTGATTATTAATACCACCATCTATGAAGTGGATATAGAACTATCTGGGAATTGTTGTGCTGGAATGTAAACCGAGTGGTTTCGGAGTCGTCTAATAGAGGGCATTACCTGTACAGTTAAGTTTAGCTATAAAATTGGAAATTCGGTTTGAAGACAGTCTTGTTTTTTTGAATTAATACAACACTTATAGCATGGTGACTGTTATGTTGAACTCTACATCATATGATCACGTACTAGTAGTCTCCATCAGTGAGGTAGTCAGCGATGACATCGCAGACTGTTGTATTAAAATTGGCGGTGATCGATCCAGCGTATGAGTTCTTAGCCTATATATTATGGAGTTTCTTGCTCGTTCCTCTCCACTTGAATCAACATTTTGGAACGAGTGCCTAGCTTCACTGACAGACAGACTGACAGACTATTATTTATTTTGTATTCGATGACATTTCAAAAGTGCCAAATTATGGCTTAATTGAAAAAAATGCTTTTGAGATTGAGTTTTGAGAATCTCTTTTACTTACTTTACTAGTCAACAGCAGTATTGCCAGATTTGCCAGTTTTATATTGACACAGCTAATAAAGTTCTTAATCTCCAGGGTAGCCATTCAGCGTATGCGCTTCGTGGGTCAGATCCGTTTTATAGTGAATTTAATTCCGAGGCTCAGCATCAGCGCTCGCAGCTCGAAGATTGCCTTTACTATGGACGGGATCGAAGTGAGTGATCAACAGTAATTTATCAGTACTGCTCATTATAGCTTGCGATGATATTAGAGTTCGGCTAATCTTTTTATCATATTTCCAGTCCGATGTAAAGGTCGTTGTTCAAAATGAGGATTATTCTGATAAAATGAATGAGTTCCTGAGTACAACTGTGCCAGCTACCTTCAAGGAATACAGGGTAAGTCACAACTTATTTATATTTTAGTAAATATTAAGTTAATGATTGCCTCGTTGGCCGAGTCGCAAGTGTGACTTCCGGGCAAGGGGTGTTGGGTTCAATTTCCGGGTCGGGCACTGTATTAGAGGGTTTTTAAAAAAAACTCAGTAGTAGCACGGTGTCTGGAATTGTGTATACGTGTCGGCAATAGGCTCGTAATGTGCACCTCTGCCTATCCCTTCGGGGATAAAAGGCGTAATGTTATGTGTAAATATTAAGATTAATTATATTAGGTACGCCTAATAACTTTATCGAACAATGTCACCGTCGCTCTGCGGTATTACATAATGCCACCTGTCATTAGATTGTCGTACAAAGCAATTAAAATAGAGAAGATCGCATTTATTACATAACACTGAGAGAGAAGTACAAAAATAGGAAATACTAATTTAAATTTATTCTTACAGTCTGAGATCAACGAACTCCTGGAGATCCTGTCGGTGGAGTACATCAACAGTTATTTGCAGGCACAGCAGAACAATTAGATCGTTTCTAAACGAGAGGAAATAATACTTCTTAAAGATTGTCAATACACAGTCACACGTATAAAAAGTTTTAATATTAAACACTTATACAAAAATATTCTTGTCACTTATTTGCTGCAAAGGGTAGAAGGTCAAGTCATTTTTTATATTTATTTTCGACTTTATGCTAAAACAATAAAGCAGAAAATCTGATAAAGGAATTGAAAAATGCACCTTGAGATGGGGTCTGGCTTGGCCACCACGTGGTCGGGGTCTGCGAAAGAATGTGATTCGTGCACCGTCGTGCCTACATGTGAGGTGGGACACCGGGGTAGTTCTTAATCAATAAGAGTCAGACAGTCCCTTTTATTCTCTTTAGGTTGCATAAGGATTTTCGACCCTGGGGTCAAAAAATAGAAATATTTACTTCCGAGTGTATTATTTATTGCAACTTGTTCTACAGTCACCATTTATATTGAAAATGTTAAAAGTGATTTGTTATTTTAACCTTTATTTATGTTTATTTTAACCTTTATTAATGTTTATTTATGTGTAAAACATTTTATAATATTACATGTTTTGCACGGCTATGATTAAATTTTAATTCATTCCGTTATTTAATCATTGTTAAAGAAATTTGACTTAAACAAATATTTGAATAGCTACGTAAGATTGTTTATATCCAATCAGTTCAGGCGCAATTTACTGATTACAAAGGATTAACTACTTAATTGACTATCTTATTGTTATCGCGTATAATCCGCCTTCGTATGAATTTGATCAGATTTCGTAGCAGTTCTATTTGGACATTTAAAAGGTAAGTCGACCAGTAATAAGTTTTTTTTAAAGTTCATTCATTTTGTTTTGAAGTTCTTTAAAGGCCGATGTTTCAAACACCAGTTAATTTTTAACTGTAGAATAAAATAGACATTTGACAGGCATGTAAAAATAATCAAAAATTTAATGTTGTTCCTCAGTTAAAATTTATCTGGCATTGGAAAAATAGACCCTAAATGGTTTGTAACAAGACTCTAAAGATATTGTTTGTGCTCAGAAAGTTGTGTTTGATTGACTAACTATTAGACATATTCCTAATAACTTCATTCGAATCGATTCGAAAATTCCTAATGACTGCACGGTTGGTGTGGTGGCTGGGCAACTGGCTGCCGCGCAACGTGTAGCTGGTTCGATTCCCGCACGGAACAACTCTTTGTGTGATCCACAGATTGATGTTTCGGGTGTGATGTGTGTGAGAACTTATATGTTTGTAAACGCACACACGACACGGGAGACAATCGTAGTGTGGGAAAAGGTTGTTTTAAAAAAAGAATCCAAAAAAATGCTTTTCGGTTGTATCGTTACAGTTGATTCTAGATTTGTTTGTAGTGATTGTGACAGTTATGACGGGATTGTTCTAATTAAAAAAAAATCATAGTGTGATGGGATTTGAAGACTGACCTATCATTTTATTTCATTCAGGTACATCAAGATGAGAGCTGTGATACTTTTTGCACTATTTGTCTTCGGCGTCAATGCCCTTCCCGAAGTCGAGCCACAGATACGTAAGTCAAGTACCTTCATTAAACCTTCTAAAGGAAGTTAAAAATGAAAAATTTGTTTAACTTACTTATTTCATCATTATCAACAGCCAGTACAGATGTAACAAATCAAAGAGTGCTTGTATACGATCTAAGTGCCGATTTTAAATCTTCAGTTAATTATTAACTGTAGAATAAAATTGATATTTGACAGTTTTTAGTATACCTATAGTACTATAGACCCGTCCCGGCTTCGCACAGGTGCAATATGCATGTATTATACGTATAAATCTTCCTTGAGAATCACTCTATCTATTAAAAAAACTGCATCAAAATTCGTTGCGTAGTTTTAAGGATTTAAGCATACATAGGGACAGACTTTGTTTTATACTATGTAGTGATTGTCAAAGTTATTTCTCAGTTTTTATCTGGCATTAGAAAAATCGGGTCTAGTCAAATATTATGTAATCCTGTAGTCGGCTATTACGACACCCACAGATGGAATAGGGGTGATGACTAATGTATTCTAATGTGCTATCACCAAACGTGGTCGTCGTGGTGGCCCGAAGGTTTAAGACGCCCGCTTCTCATGCACGAGGGTGCGGGTTCGAAGCCTACCAACGGCAAGTACCAATGTAACTTTTTCCAAGTTATATGTACTTTCTAAGATTATTCAGACACCACTGACAAACGGTGAACGAAAACATCGTGAGGAAACCTGGACTTATAATTTCTAATTATTAGTTTGAAATCACCAACCCGCATTGAGCAAGCGTGGTGATTAAGGCTCAAACCTTCTCCGTGTGAGAAGAGGCTTTGCTCAGCAGTGGGCATTTATAGGCTGTTGATGATGATGATGATTGACGATGATCACCAAACGGTTTGCTTAAGTTATAATAGCTCTTTTGCTTGTGCCTTATAGATGGTTCTTTCTTCAAAAGAATGTTTCATATAAAGTTCACTTTGGAAATGGAAATGGGAGATTATTCTTACGTAAAACAATTTGTGTGTTAACAGTGAGTGGACGACAGGCGCGTAATATAATTACGGATCAAGTTATTGAAGACATTGAGGACATCAGTCAGGCCATAAGGGACATGGGACTAGACCCCTTCTTAATAGACCACGACGTTTACGAATATGAACTGCCTGTACCTGTGTAAGTAATATACAATGATGCATTTACGTCTTACGAACTGCGTCCATACACTTCTTATGTTCATACATCGTGTGCGACGTAAGGTACCAATTGCACCACTTGATTCCCCCTAGTCATTTCCATCATTGTACTACAAGACAATCGGTGAAACGTCACCGATTCATGGTAGATGTCCCACTCATACGCACGAAGCGCTTCGCAACAAGCTTCCTTGTGCGTACTGCTAAGGAGTGGAGTTCTTTGCCAAGACCTGGTTGTCTTCAAGGATCGAGTGAATAGGTTGCATATGGGACGATTTGCTCCATCGTAGTCCGCATCATCGCTTACCACCACGCGAGATAGTGGTCAAACGTCGGCACATCAAATTGAAAAATAAGCTACACGACATATGAGGTAGCGGCGTGTTAGTGGCGTATTCATGAGATGAAGGTGCACCATAACCTTCAAACTGTCATAAATATCCTTGATCTTGAATGAAATTTTAATAACATAACATAACATCTCGCCTTTTTATCCCCGAAAGAGTAGGCAGAGGTGCACATTTCGGCACTTAATGCCACTGTACAATGTAACACCCACTTTTCACTATTATGTTATGAGTCCCATGAATAAGGGGTGATAAGGGGTAATTGCAATATACTGGGCACATTTCCAAACTCCGTGCTACTACTGAAATTTTTAAAAATCCAGTAACACTTTTCCCGACCCGGGAATCGAACCCGAGACCCCTTGCCCGGCAGTCGCACTTGCGACGACCACTCGTTCAAAAAGGCAGTCATAATTTTAATGTTCTGCAAAAATAGTGATGACATTGTAATTGAAACTACAACCTGATTCTTTTTAATTTCATTAAAAAGGTTGTCGTTTACTTTTTTGTTGCAGGCTCTTCAACGCGGCTGCCGAGCTGGAAGATATCAGGAGTTTTGGTCTGAGTGACATCGTGATTGAGGATATGAGCCTTAGTGTACTACAATCTAGACTCAATTTCCGTATAGTTCTACCTCACATACACATATCTGCTAGTAAGTTTCTCCTAAGATATCTAATGTACTCAGAAGTCAATTGACAATTGACTGCACGGTTGGTGCGGTGGCTGGGCAACCGGCTGCCGTGCAACGTGTCGCGGGTTCGATTCCCGCACGGAACAACACTTTGTGTGATCCATAAATTGTTGTTTCGGGTCTGGGTGTCATTGTGTATGTGAACTTGTATGTTTGTAAACGCACCCACGACACAGGAGAAAACCCAAATATGGGGCAACGTTTTAAAAAAAAAAATTGAGATGTACGTAAGGCATTGTAATGCTAACTTTCACTATAACACTATCATTTTGTAAGTCTATTTATACACCAATGACATGAGTTTGAAATCACCAATCCGCCTTGAGCACGTGTAGTGATTAATGCTCAAACCTTCTCCGTATGAGAAAAGGTCTTTGGCCAATAGTGGCTACTTATAGGTTCCACTATAGACCGGGCAATTTTTCTAAAAACCTTAACATTTATTTAACACTAGCTTCTGCCCGCGACTTTGTACGCGCAATCCCGTTTCTCCCATTCCCGTAGGATTTTCAGGTCTTTTTTCTATTAAAAGAGAAGATTCTCATGACGATAACAAACACAACAAAATAAGAAATCTGCCAAACCATTCTAGCCGTTCTAGTTATGGCGTGACAACGGGAAACGGGTTTCATTTTTATATACAAGGTGTAGTTTTGAAACCGTGTCATTTCTCGGGGACATGTCACAAAAGTCATAAAGGTTCAATGTAAGAGAAAGTTTCGGGCCAATAGTTAAAAATACGGCTATAATAAATCGTTTAAGTTCGACAGTATTTCAGAGTTTCGAGAGTTTTATGGAATTAGGAATAATATCAATTACGTGTTTGAGTTTGTGCGTGTTAAGCCGCGTTATAAAGCTAGTTACAAGACGGCGGCACGTAGTTCGCACTTACGGATTTCCGTAATTTACAGAAAAATGAAAAATATTTACCTACAATTTTGTTTATTGATTCGGACTCAAAATCGATAGCCGATTTATCTCCTAGAAAATGACGCGGCTTTAAAACAACACCTTGTAAAGATTTCATAGCTTAGTAACTTACTATCATCAATATTTTGCATTGCTTAAGAGCAAGGACATAGTTTAATTTACAAAATCATATTTTGAATTTTGGTTTCAATAAGCAGATGTTGATAATTTTTTTTATTTTTTTTTAAGAATCTACTTGTAATAGGTGATTGACAGATGAAAATGAATTTGTAAATAAATTTTAGAATCAAATTAATCAATTTTGACGTGACAACGTCATAAATTGGTTTGCCGGGTGACACTTCAAGAAACTGCGTTACGCTCCGCTCACGTTATGCGCTCACAATGAGAGCGAGTGAGAGGCACGCGTCCCTTCCACTCGGGCATGGTTAGCCCGCCTAAGAGCGAGAGAGACAGACATAATATTTTACCACTCAAAGTCGTTGTCACGTAAAACTTTCGCCCGTATACCGACTTTACAGGCAACCAATTTTTTATACCAAGTTTTTCAAATCAGAACAGTACAACTAACGTTATATTTTCAGAAAAAGTAAAAGGTGAAGTTACGTTGTTCGGTGAAAAACTGACCGTGGAGCTAGACGGCAGGTAAGTTGAATGTTCTTAACAACGAGATAATATATTTTTTTAATACAATAAATTATTTTTGTAATAACTATCGTGAGACATACTATATTAACTAAAAATCGCGGTTTACTCACGTGAGAATGTTCTACCAGTTAGTTGTTAATATGAAGTCGGTTTAACAATTAATTAATTATTTTCACTATTTTGTGTTCAAAATTACATACATAACATCACGCCTTTTTTATCCCCGAAGGGGTAGGCAGAGGTGCACATTACGGCACTTAATGCCACTGTACAATGTAACACCCACTTTCACTATTTATGTTATGAGTCCCTTGTAATAGGGGGTGAGCCTATTGCCATATACCGGGCACATTTCCAGACTCTGTGCTATTACTGAGATTTTTAAAAACCAGTAATACTTTGCTCGACCCGGAAATCGAACCCGAGACCCCTTGCCCGGCAGTCGCACTTGCGACCACTCGGCCAATGAGGCAGTCATGTCATCATAATGTACCATGTAATGCGTCACTGTCTGTTTTCCCAAATAAATAAAAAAAAATTACAAAGTCAAATGAAGTTAGAAGTAACGAAATAAAAATTATTTCATTCAAGTGCTTGTTGTCGATGCAAATCATGTTAAGGAGACATTTAACTGATTGTACTTCATGTACGTATTATTAAAGTATGCGATTAAATGATAAAGGATTGGAATTGATTACAAGATAAACACGATCACTATGGATTAATATATTTCACCCGCGACGATAAGGAGTAGGTATATGCGTTTGCGGTGAGAAGCTGTATGAGCAAAAAATATTTACATAACATCATTTAACATCGCGCCTTTTATTCCCGAAGGGGTTGGCAGAGGTGCACATTATGTTACTGTACAATGTAATACTCACTTTTCACTATTTATGTTATGAGTCCCATGTAATAGGGGGTGAGCCTATTGCTATATACCGGGCACAATTCCAGACTCCGTGCTACTACTGAGATTTTTTTAAAACCCAGTAGTACTTTGCCCGACCCGGGGATCGAACCCGATACCCCATGCCCGGTAGTCGCACTTGCGACAAATCGGCCAATGAGGCAGTCATCAAGTTAAATCTTAAACCTATGTCTTCAGGCTGTAATAAAACTTCATCTTTGAAATTTTTGCCTAATTGCGAAGCGCTAGTTTCTTGGCATGCCTCACATCTGGCTTTTTATTCTGTTAAAGAATAAAACACACTTCTCGCTAGGTATATGCTATAATTACGCTCGTTCAATTTCAAATACTGCGAATTTCGAAACCAAAAAACTCAACAATCTTTTGCCCGCGTCATCATCGAATCTAAATCCTCTTTGGTTTATTGTACCTCTGTGCTCTAGGTACTAATAGAGGGCCTAGTGCGATTTTTTTACGTTAATATGAGACACATTTTTATTAGATACGATTGGTTTGTCAAATTAGAGTTGGCCAATCAGAGTGCCGAACGTCATAAACGAAACAAAGTCCCATTAAGTTACATCTGCAAGTTTAGTAGCTTTAGCAGTTGTAGACAACCACCACTCAAACGTCTGCGTCACGTCAGCGCACACGTCTTGAACGACCGCGCGGCGCGCGCGCTTACGCGCCGTGTACGTCTCCGACTTAGAGCCTATTTTCTACCAATCTACGACTGTTATAGCAAATTAAAAAATACCAGTATAAAGCTGACATTGTAAGGAATACAAATTTGTGAAGATTAAATAGTAATTCTTATCGTAAACATTACAAAAACCGTTTTACTTATGGTGAACTTTCAAATTAATGTTGTTACTTAATGGTTCTTTTTTCCAGTGTGGATGTTCGAAATATAGACGCGGTCGGACATGCAGGTTACAGAGCTGGCCTTATCTCCGGTATATCCATATCTCACGTTGACATTGATTTGAAAATCGAACAAATTGTCGTAAGTATAATCATTATGTTAGGAGTATAATATGTTGTTTGATAAATATTCTGTTTTTTCGCGTATCGCGATGGAAATCCTCGTGGACTTTCCACGTGGTGGGGACGACGAGGGGGCGTTTTGGACTCTTACCAGCTAAAACCTGTGATCCTTCACTGCCTGTGACCGTGATCCGGGTTTTTTATAGGATAAGCCGGTAAACGATCAGACGGATCACCTGATGGTAAGCAATCGGCGCCGCTCATGGACACCCGAAACACCAAGGCGTTACAAGTGCGTTACCGGCCTTTTGGGAATTGGGAATTTGAGGATTGTGAAGGATTCGGGGTGTCGGTAGACTAGGTAATTGGACCTCAGGTAACCTCACTCACACGACGAAACACAACACAAGCGTTGTTTCACGTCGGTTTTCTGTGAGGCTGTGGTATCACTCCGGTCGAGCCAGCCCATTCGTGCCGAAGCATGGCTCACCCACACTTAAAACGTTGCCCTTACGGAATTACACACCCGGTTTTTTTAACACAACGCTAACGCCTACTCCTGCCTATATAGCGGACGTCTGACTCCCCCGGTCAGTCGCCCGCAGGCTGATAAATATCCTTACTGAAATACTTTATAACTTACAGTAAATCGTTTGCATGACATTTTTGATACTTTAAACTGTTTTAATTGAACCATAATAAAGACTTACTATAATATAATTATGTTCACAGTCTAAACTTCAGCTAGTCATCCAGGGTCAGGATTACTCTGATGAAATCAACGACTTTATCAACAAAACAGTTCCTACAAAACTGGATGAATTCAGTGTAAGTATTTTGAGCAGTTTACTAAGCCACGAGCTTTAGGTACCTACTTACATAATAAATAGGAGCAGATTAACTTCTACTGACTGGAAGTCTACTGTCGGAAGTCACTAAAGATTTTTTTTGTGTAATAACTAGTAATAAACATAATAAAAAATAATTGTAGTTGAAACTAGTAGAGCTTTAAAAATGAATTCACGTGAGTAACTTCCACAGATATAATAAAGAAGATATTTCTGTGGTAACTTCATTTAATGTCATTTGAATGGCAATGACAACTCTATGTGTAAAACCTCCTTTGTAGCGCGATAAGAAAATGGTGGTAAAGTGGTATGTTCGAATTCGCGCTAAAATTCAAAAATCGAAGCCAAGCCCACGCGTTGCTCGAGAGGGCTCCGCGCTCGCGCTAACAGTCACAGATGAGATAAGAGGCCTTAGTACGAGTTTGTTTTACGTTTAAAGTAATAGTAACGAGTACGCATTCGGCGCTCTGATTGGTTGCTTCATTGGCGCCGGCCAATCAGAGTGCCGAACGTGTACTCGTACTCGCCTTAGTATAGGGGATGTCGCCGCTGAAACGTTAAGTGAGTGAGCGTGTGTTGAAAACGCTCCGCGTTCCACACATCCAGTCCTAATCTGTTACATTATTGGTTTGTGTGCTGAGTCTGAGAGCATTGTGGTTCGTGGTCACGAGACGATCCTAGTGTCGGTTATTAAAAAAAAATTGCCAGCCAGCACGTCAACCTACTTATTTCTGTCAATTTTCTTTATTAGATTTGGAACATTATCGTTTTCACGTAAAGTCGAAAATGCAATAAAAAATGGACAGATTTGAGTACGTTGACCTGGCCACGGTAGTAAACTGAAAAAGTTTAGTAAATTATTTTTGTCTTCCAGGATGAAGTCAACGAGCTCGTCGCGATTATCGTATACGACATCATCAACGATCACTACTTGTAATCGACCTGAATACGAACATAGAATTTCAATAAATAAATGGACTGTTTTGAAAAGTATTGCTTGTTGTTTTCTTGTAAATTCGTCTTTTATTTCTTATGACCCGTCTTTACCTATATATATACATACATATAGCACTGCTAACTTCTGCCCGCGACTTTTCGTCTCCGACTTTCGTTATCTCATTTCCGTAGGATTTGCAGGATTTTTTTTCTGTCATAATAACCTACTTAAGACAATAACCAGGCAAAACCAAACGTAAACCTATATAAATAAAACATAAAAAAAAATGTAAAAAATCGGTCCAGCCGTTCAAGCGTCATGACATAGGGATTCATTTTTATATAATAGATATACATAGATTTTATTAACACCTTTTAACGTTGAGAGGTATACAATATACCTACAATGTAATATCTACTTAACACTCATATTGGACTTGAACTTGCGAAGGCTATAATTCATATAATATTATGAAAACTAGCCAAGACAGGACCTTAGGCTACAATACATGATCTTCTGTTATAAGTTAGTACATATGGTATGTTATACTGTTACTTATAAATAAATTTCAGGACTGACTTGAACATTGAACTTGGCACCCATTTAGAACTCATTTCTTTTGTCGTTGAAGTCATTTATTATAATATTGAACTTGGTCCTCTTTTCACATTCATGTTTTTGATTGGATATCATTATGTCAATTTATCTATGAAAACATCATGTATGTTAGGAAAAACCTACAGTTATTTGGTAAAGTATCGGGCAGACACCACTATCAAACTAGACATAAGGATAGATTAAGCCAGCCTTGACATGAGATTGGCGAAAGTAAGTAAGTCGTTCATGGGATTCTGTGTTAAATGTTATAACAAGATACCAAGCGATAGAAGTTTAAATTATGTATAAAAAAAACTTTATGTAGACAAGCATATTACAAACTTAATGATTATATAGAGGATAAAAATGCTTGGTGCATCCAACGTCTCGCTGGTCCAGCTCCACGGGATAACGGAAAAAAACTGATGTTTCAATAAATTCCAAACATGTAAATATTACAGCTTATTTGCTAAAATGTATATTGTCTAACTTGCATAATCATTGTAAATGTGAGAGCCCTGTAATTAACTTAATATTAAATTAGACTAGTAGAATGCATTTATGTCAGCTTGGAGTTGTCATGCTCACTCAAAGATCTCATTGGCGTGCATTGCATCGCTAGATTCCCTGGAACATGGTTGAGTTGGGCGGTGCTGGTGTACGTGTCATGTTCGTAAACGGGCGCCGTCAACTGGGACTGGTCAGCTCCAGACTGCATTATTTATTGTCTTTAGGGTTATTTTCTTTTTCAATTTCTTTGACTGGATTTTGGTGTTACATTGTTCTCGCAAAATCGAACCAATAAAACTGTGTAACTGGAGAATTGTATTGTGAACTTGATTGGAAAAGACTAACCTATAGAGTTTCTTACTCGTTTTTCTCCATAGGAATCTACACCTTGGAATGAGCAAATAGCTTCATTTCTAAATTTTTATTGCTGACGTTCAAAAGTGCCTTCCTGGTGTAATTGAAATAAATGATTTTTGACTTTTGACTTCTGTAAGTAAGTACACATCCTCGTAACGCCGTGTGTCCTTATAAAAGGACAAATTAAAAATTAAAAGCAGACTTTACAAATATAAAACAGTTTAATGAGTTACTGTATTTTCTTACGTTTACGAGGTATAATTTTCTTATCATTGTTCTTATTTTAAAAGCTGACAACCTATCACCGCTAAACACAACATGTCATGTTGCAACTTGCTTACCTTCCCTCATGTACTTGTCGAATGTGGTTCTCTTTCTTAAACTTGCCTTGACACGCTACCGCATGTCTAGATTGGTTTGTTATTGACATCATCATCGTCACCATCAACGGTTACGATAAAACCTCAATTTCTTTATGCGATTTTGTCTTTGTTAAAGAAGTCGGGTTTAAACAAATATTTGTGCAAGTACGTCACATACTTTTATTGTCCAAGTTATAATAATTATGTACTTTCTAAGATTATTTAGACACCACTGATAAACGGTGAAGGTTATCATCAACTTACAATTTCTAATGAAATTATAAGTTTAAAATCGCCAATTCCCATTGAGCAAGCGTGGTGTTAAATGCTCAACCTTTTTGGTGCGAGAAGAGGCCTTTGGTGAACAGTGGCCACTACTATGCTGTTAATATGATGTGACGTCAGATAAATTATAACCAATCAGTTCGAGCGCAATTTTCTGATTACAGAGGATTAACTACTTAATTGACTATCTTATTGTTATCGCGCATAATCCAACCTCATAAAAATTTGGTCAGATTTCATCGCAGTTGTATTTGGACATTTTAAAAGGTAAGTTAGTGATTAGTTTAGTATTAATGGTTGTTTACTGATTACATACGTTTTTTGAAAGAGTTCGCTGGTTTCTTTAAGCAGTTTGGATTGTGTTTAAGACCTTAAAGGTATCTTTGTGTTTTTTGTTATTAGATCCCCAAATTTACACTTCAGATTTTGGTTTGGCGTGTCTCTTCTGTAGATATCCTGGATTTGTAGTTGCAGTGATTACGATAGTTATGACGCGATCGTTCTAATAAAAAAGTTTTAAGTGTGACTGGATTTTTTTTATGGCATAAGCCGGTAAACAAGATGAATCATCACATGATGGTAAGCAATCGGCGTCGCCCATGGACACCTAGAACATCAGAGGCGTTACCGGCCTTTTGGGGATTAGGAGTTTGAGGATCGTTGGGGATTCAAGGATTGGGAAGATTGGGGAAGGGAAGGGTAATTGGGCCTCCAGTAACATCACTCATACGCAAAACACAACGCAAGCGTTGTTTCATGTCAGTTTTCTGTGAGGCCGTGGTATCACTCCGGTTGAGCCGGCCCATTCGTGCCGAAGCATGGCTCTCCCACATTTGAATTAATGTTTTATTTCATTCAGGTACATACATTAAGATGAGAGCTGTGACACTTATTGCTGTATTATTCTTGGGCGTCAATGCCCTTCCTGAAGTCGACCCACAGATAGGTAAGTCAAGTACACACGGCTACATATCGAGCTTTACATAACCAGTATAAACAAATAAAAGTGATTTGATTTGATTTGATTTGAAACTGAACGTTAAATGTGCGGAAAGATGATGCAACGCGATATCAGGATAAAATGGTTTTGTATAGATTGATGTGTGGCCGAGTGGAACTTGTTCATTATACTTCACGTATTATTAATTAACAGTTTGTCTTCTAAGAAAATATTACCTTAGTTGTTCCATCATAATAGGGATGACGACAGGGTATGAAAGTCTAATTAGTACGTCAGTTAGGTAATGAATAAAATATTAGACACGTATTTTTTATTTTGTCGTATAAGAAAACAATACTTAAATAAAACGAATCAAAGTTTGGGAGTGGGAGCTAACTACATCACTTTTGAGTACTACTTAAAATACGTACACAAAAGTGACGTCACGCGATATTTCAAATCAATATATAACCGAAAGTATCTGTGTCAGTAGAAACATGAAAATACGTGTCTAATGATTTTAAATAATCTACAATATGGACATTAAAATAAAAATTAGCCATCTACCCTATTAACAGCTCGTGACACAGTGATAGCCACTAGAAAACTAAGGGCTTCCTCGACTCAGCATAAGAGGGTTTGCCATAATTTAGACGCTTCACAGGCGTGCTAGAGATCACAGTTTTATATGTAGGTACTAATTTCTATCAGCGAGCACAGCTGCGAACAAGTAATAACTATGTAGTCTCTTCGTCGGCTCTTACGTCATTCATGCGTAGAGTAGCGGTGATGACTAAATGTGTTTTAGTCAATCGTGTCTACACTACATGTTTTTTATTTAATATTAGCTTTTACCCGCGGCTTCGCTCGCGTCACAAAAGGATAAACAGTAGCCTATGTGACTATCCATCCCTTCAACTATCTTCAGTTAAAAAATCACGTTAATTAGTACCTCCGTTCTGCCGTTTAAGACAGGCAAACAAACAAATACGTGAAATTCAGTTATTTTGCGCTATTTATATTTTTCCAATAAGTAGGTAATTCGTTGACTGGTTTTAAATGATATACAGCGCCATCTATACCAATACACACAGCGCCATCTATACTAATACACACAGCGCCCATCTATACTAATACACACAGCGCCATCTATACCAATATTTTTGTTTTCCCTCGGTAATATCAAATTTTTCCGGGGTAAAAAGCAAAATTTCAAAGCAATCGGTTTAGTAGTTACAGCGTTTAAGCAGAACAAACAAACAAACTCACTTTCAGATTTATAATACCTATTATATAGTAAGGATTTGATTTGACATGGTAAGGAATCACAAAAACTAAACTTTTACTCAAAATAGTTTGTGTTTGCAGTGAGTGGCCGACAGGCGCGTAATGCAATTACAGACCAGATTCTTGAAGAAATTGAGAATATCTCCCAGACTATAAAAGACATGGGACTAGATCCCTTGTTAATAGAACACGAGTCTTTCGAGTATCAGCTGCCTGTACCTGCGTAAGTAATATAATCCAATAATGCTAAATGAGTAATAACTTAACATCACGCCTTTTATCCCGGAGGGGTAGGCACATTATGCCCCTGTACAATGTAATACCCATTTTTCACTATTTATGTTATGAGTCCCATGTAATAGGGGGTGAGCCTATTGCCATATACCGGGCACAATTCCAGACTCCGTGCTAAAACTGAGAATTTTTAAAAACCTCAGTAATACTTTGCCCAATCCGGGAATCGAACCCGAGACCCCTTGCCCGGCAGTCGCACTTGCGACAACTCGGTCAACGAGGCAGTCAAAGTATTGAAATGAGTTATTTAATTGAAATAAGTAATGTGTGAAGTATTCTGATAAACTAGCGGCACATAATTACGATAGTGACCACTTTATCATTTATTTTAGACTCTTCAACGCGGCCGCCGAGGTGGAAGATGTCAGAAGCTTCGGTCTCAGTGACATTGTGGTTGAAAACCTGAACCTCGTCCTGTTTCCCTTCTTTAACCGACTCGATTTCCATATAGAATTGCCACACATCCACTTCTTTGCTCGTAAGTTCTGATGTTCATCTGTTGACTGAGATGTATGTACTGATTTTGATGTTAATTTCCAATATCTACTTTACAAAAGATTGATTGTGTGATTGTAGTAAATGATTTTGCAATGAAATCTTTCTCCTATAAATAAAAACCAACGATACATTTTCAGGTAAAGCAAAAGGTCAAGTTGCGTCGTTTGGTGAAACATTGATTGTAGAAGGAGACGGCAGGTAAGATCATAGCTTATCACCTGGCGAGATGGTGGCTAAACATCATCCTATCAAGTATAAAAAACATTGATAATTACCATATAACATGAATTATGACAAAATACACAATATGCGAACCAGAGGCGGAGAAAGCGCCCTAGACAAGTACACTGGTAGGCACCCCTAATTTGTTTTGGCGCCGACGCCATTCTAAGAGCCATTGAGCATGCGCGTTTCTCGGCGTTCCTCTATAGCCTGGCGCCCTTTTTTTTTGAGGGGGGAAAATCATCGAATGACTGCTCCCGCCTGGGTGAGGCGGGAGGGAGTGTCAGACTCTTACTGATAAAAAACCACCCCGTTCCTTCTTCTGCACGTCGAGTCGGAGCCCCGGTTACCCGTTAGGTTCTCCGCGACTCCGAATCGGCATCGGCCCTATTGGGCCCCATCTGTGGTGGTCTGATGGCTCTTTGAGGCGCGCGCGGAACGCGACGCGCCGTACGCTAGGCACTTGATGGCCTTAGGTTAATACGGTTCTACCACAAATATAAAACAATAAAAAAAGTGTTTATTGTAATAAAAACATTACACACACAGTTTAGGAATACTAGCATCTAAACGAGCCTGTACCTTAGATGTTAGTTCCTTCCAATTGAGACAGTATATTATTTACAATTCATAGTTTGTAAATGGTTTAAAACATTATTGATATCTAATGCACGAGTATGACAATACAATAAAACAACCTTGAGAGACAGGAGGGTACCTAATAAAAACATACCGTACACAATATCAAACTTGCCATCACACCTAAACACCGTTCATGCCGAGAATTTAACAAAACATTATTATTATTATTATAACGGCAAGTAAATCCCTGTCGATACTAATCGTGTTAAGGAGACATTAATTGATTGTACTTTATGTACGTATTATTAAAGTATGCGATTAAATGTCGAAGGATTGGAGTAGATTACAAGATAAGCATAAAAATACCTATAAGTACTACGTAATATAGTTGATTATGTTTTGATAGTGAGTCGGCCTTGTATGTCAAAGAAATTGACATTAAACACCGTAAAATCTATTTTGTTTTGAAGTAAAATGGTTCTGTCTCGGTAATACAATAGTTTTACTACCGAGTTTAGTTTACTTTTTCAGAGTTAGTTTAAAAGCCCAAACCAACTCATAGTACATTGTCAAAACATCATGCCGTGTAATTCTCGGAAAAGTATTTCTCGTTTGGCACGTGCGATGCGAATAGTGCCTACAAATTTACGTCTAGTGTTTCATGTGCGTATATCTATGACTTTTTTAAATAAAAACATTTTTTTTTTTTTTATTTTATAACTACATCGAAAGTACTCCTTATTGTAGTTAAGTTGTTTTGCCGCAGGACGAAAACGAAATAGATATATGGTGTAGAGTGAACATGTTACGAGCGCAAAATATGTTTCTGTCTTGCACCTTATTTTGTGTTGGATAGGGAAGCATACAAACATTAAGCATCATTTGATGATAAGCAATTGGCGCAAATTAATAAGTACTGTGCTGGTTTTATGGGGATGAGCAATTTGAGCACGATTTATCTCCAAGCCGATGCTGAGAAACCTTGAGATGGGACCTGGCACAGCCGCCACGAATGCGCCTCTATAGAAGAATAAGTATTTAGTGGCCAACGGAGCTGTTTTTAGTCAGTAACGGTCTGACAGTACAATATATTACGGTAAATGGGGTCATGTTCGTGTACCGAAAAGTAGTTCAATTCATTGTTTCAGGATATTTTCTCGAGTACCTACTTACAAATATAGATTGCAGAGTAAACTAATCTCTTGTTTGACAAATCCAATAGATTAGATTACGAGAAAACGTGTGATTTTGGACAAATGACGAAAGTATCAATATTAAATTAACTAAAATCGCGGGTTACTCACTTGATTATACTGAGAAAAGTTCTACTAGTATCGAACCACAGAGGGGCCATGACCAGCGTGCGCGGTCGCGGCGATGTCGCGCAGCTCACTGAGCTAAGCCCAGTGAGAGGAAGAACCCCGATATCGAGCAACCTGGTTTTTTTTTTTTTTTTTTTTTTTGAGGGGGGAAAATCATCCAATGACTTCTCCCGCCTGGGTGAGGCGGAAGGGAGTGTCAGACTCTTACTGACTAAAAACCACCCCGTTCCTACACCTGCACTTCGAACCGGAGCCCCGGCAACCCGTTAAGTCTTCCGCGGCTCCGTATCGGCATCAGCCTTGTTAGGCCCCATCTGTGGTGGTCTGATGGCTCCTTGAGGCGCGCGGAACGCGACGTGCCGTACGCTCGGGCCTGGTTCTGGTCGGGCGGCGAGTCACCCATGCTCGCCGTCCGCAGGCCCGTGCTTACGGTGGCCGGAGATCGTCTCGCGATCCCCGACGCCCGGAGTGTCTCTCGCGACGGCCGGGTCGTGAGGAGGTTCGTTCCCTCACGCGCTCCGCCTCCTCCTTGGCTAGCATGACTGCTTCGCAGAAGGAGGAGACGGCATCCCAGTCCCCCTCGCTCCGTACCATGGTCTGAACCAGAGCTGGACGCGAGAGGTCGCCGTCGCCGATCACATTCCTGAGGACACGGCGGTGCTCCGTCCACGCAGGACACACCGCCACCGTATGCTCCACCGTGTCCTCCAGCCGATCCTCGCAGTGATGACACCCGGGCGTTTCCTCCCGCCCAATCCGAAACAGGAACCTACCGAAACTTCCATGTCCGGTAAGCACCTGCGTCAGGCGGAAGGTGAGGACGCCGTAGCGTCTCTCAAGCCACTCCTCAAAGAGGGGACTTACCGCTGCAATGACAGCGAGCCCAGCCTTCGGTTGCGACAGTCGTTGCTGCCATTCCGCCATGAGATCACGCCGGAGCTCATCCCGCCACGCATTAATCTGGCGCGGCAGCGGAGTTTCGCCCCGGCGACGTGCCTCCGCGCGCAAACAAAACACGCGCGCGAGCACCTTCGCCTCCAGATCCCACGGCGGTAATCCGGCAAGGAGGTTCGCCGCCTCCCCGGAGATCGTGCGATATCCGCGTATCAATCGGATCGCCATGACCCTCTGTGATGTGAGCAGCGCCCGAGCGGGCCGCCGCTTCAGGTTCGGCGCCCACACAGGGGCGCCGTAGAGGGCCATGGACCGCACGACCCCGGGATATCGAGTAACCTGCGATTTTAGTTAATTTAGTATGTCTCACGATAATTATTATAAAAACATAGTATCTATATTAAGTGAAAATTTAGAATGAAACTGCATACCAATGCATAATGCCGCGGAGCATTACTTAACGGGTTGCTGGGGCTCCGGCTCGGAAGGCAGGAGTAGGAACGGGGTGGTTTTTAGTCAGTAAGAGCCTGGCTATCCCTCTCGCCTCACCCAGGCGGGAGACGCCACTGGATGATTTCCCCCCCTTTAAAAAATATACTACTGCATAATGTAAACAGATTTATATTATATTAAATATAATACCTATAGTTTCTTTTTATATCTGGTTTTTACGAGAAGTATGTCCATGTATAGAATATTCTCACAATTTTTCATATTTAAGATATTTACTTGATGGTTGTGTTTTTGTTTCAGTGTCGATATCCGAAACATAAACATAGTTGGTAGAGCAAATATCAGATTGACTGGAGTTATTATCGGTGATCTCATATCTGCCATTGAAATCGATTTTACAGTAGGACAAATTAGCGTAAGTATACTTATTATAGAGAAAAACGATCATACCCTGCACATTTTTAAGTAGACAGTCAGATTTTTAATCTGAATGGTGGTAAAAACCATACAATATTGAGAAAATACACAATAACTACATGTTCTTCCATGTTTCGTGTTCGGGATAATATAGGTTTTCACTAATATAAGTAACGTAAACTGTTTACTTAAATTTATTATGTGAGTCATCACAGAATATATGCGTGTACATTTTTCGACCTAAATTATAGAAGTAAGTGTAATCTGTACGGGCATCCAACGTCAGGTACTCTCAATGAGAAACTTGTCATGTGTCGTAAATCTATTGAGAATTGGGATGATGGCAGGGTATGAAAATTAAAAATGTAATTAGTCCGTCAGTTAGGTAATGAAAAAATATTAGACACGAATTTTTTTATTTTAATGTATAATAAAACGATACTTAGATTTATATCTAAGTATCGTTTCAAACTTTAGGAGTGGGGGCTAAAACGTCATTTCTACGTATAAAATGTACATAGAAGTGACGTCACGCAACATTTCAAATCAATATATCGTCGAAAGTATTCATGTCTGTAAGAAAATAAAAGATACGTGTCTAATGATTTAAAATAATCTACCAGACGGACATTAAAATAAAAATTAGGCATCTACCCTATTTGAAGTGATATTTTCTCTTCACATAGTTTTTAACAAGTAGACAATTTTTATTACTAAACTTTTGTTTGAATTTCAAAAATGCTCAACATATTAGTTTGATATAATAAATGTGACTCACTTTTTATTCTTACAGTCAAATATTCGGCTAGCTATCAACGGTCAGAATTATTCTGAAGAAGTTAACAATTTAATCAACGTAAAAATTCCTGCCGTTCTGGATGAATTCAGTGTAAGTATTTCAAAGTACATGCATAACATCACGCCTTTTATCCTCGAACGGGTAGGCAGAGGTGCACATTATACCACTGTACAATGTAACACCCACTTTTCACCATTTATGTTATGAGTCCCATGTAATGGGGGTTAGCCTTTTGCCATATACCGGGCACAGTTCCAGACTTCGTGCTACTACTGAGATTTTTTTAAAACCCAGTAATACTTTGCCCGACCCGGGAATCGAACCCGAGACCCGGCAGTCGCAATTGCTACCACTAGAGGCAGTATTTCAAAGGTTTGCTAAGTAAACATCAACAGTTCATCACAGTTATTGGCCCGTATTTATGGAATTTAGGATTTGATGATTTGCTCGCGATTCCCCTTCCTTGTAGCTGTACTTTGACTGGATATGCGGATGATGGCCTTTTGCTAGTACAGTCAAATACCCGCGCCGGACTGGAGAATTTGGCTAAGGACTGTCTCAGTAGGATCTCGCGATGGGGCGAACGAAATCGCTTGACTTTTGCACCCCATAAAACTTACCAGCTATTGCTTAAAGGAAATCTAAAGTCGTGGCCGTCTATTAAATTTAACAACGTTTCCGTAAAACGAAAGGAGTCGGTTTGCTACCTCGGTCTAGTTTTGGAAAAAAACTTTTCTTTCATTGAGCACATTAAGGCTATTAGTGAGAAAGCCAAAAATAACTTCTATGCGCTGACGCGAATTTCAAAAGCCACCTGGGGTCTCTCTTTTCTTACGCTCAGGATCATATACGGAGCAACCTACCTGGGATGCGTGTGCTACGGGGCACCTGTCTGGGCTGATAGGGCCACAATAGGCGCGGTACGGCGAAAACTTCTTCAAGGCCAGCGTCTAGCCTTGATTTTCCTGTGTAAGGCTTATAGGACGGTTAGCACTGAAGCCCTACCTGTGCTCGCGGGCGTACTTCCGGTAGATCTTGAGGTGCAGCGACGTGCTGCTATGTACTACAGTGCGAGACCTAATTTGTCAGCAAGCTTTCTAGCACAACGTGATAGAAATAAAATTGCTAGATTGTTTAAGCCAATAACGGACGTCTGGGATGAGCTTATAACTGAATGGCAGGGTAGATGGGCATCTTCTATTAAGGGCCGCCACCTATATCAGTTCTTCCCATCCGTGCATGAGCGGCTGGAGAGGACATGGTTGGAGGTGGATCACTGTGTTGCCCAATTTCTTACTGGCCACGGCAACTTTAAAAGCAAATTGTTCTCATTTAAACTTGTTGATTCACCATGGTGCCAATGTTCGACAGTGGATTTGCAATACGAGCAGTCGGCCCATCACATACTCTGGGAGTGTGATCTCTGGCAATATGAACGTAACACTATGTTGAATAATTTAATTGTTTCGTCAGGTGTAGCTTATTATACGGACCTTGTGGAATCTAGAACAAATTTCCGTGCGTTTAGGCGTTTTTGCCATACCTATTATTGGAAGCAAGTATAACAGCTCACACATAGGACCCACTTAGTTTTTTAGTCAAATTTCCGTGGTGCTTGGCGACTGGGCTTCACCCAGTTGTACAGTCTCTTCTTTGTGCCTTTAGACTTAATTCATTCTGTCTCCTGCAGAAATTCACCGAGGGAAGTGGAAACTATAGTTTTTTCTTTTCCTCTTATAATATCTTCTGATTCATTTCGTTGCGGGAACCAAGACAGTTACTCATGTCCCTGGGACGCGCCGGACTTCAGTGTTCCGGTGTTTTCATGGTTGTATCTACTGTAGATCCTGGCTTACAGGAGTTGCAGCGGTTTTGGGAGGTTGTGGCGGGCTTGTCCCATTAAAAAAAAAAAGTTCATCACAGTCTTCTGCTTGACATGATTCTCCTGCCCTTAAAAGGTTTCGACAGTATCTCCATGCTTGCCACAGGTTAAAGGTTCAAGCAGATTTATTATAAAGTGCTGTTGCTCAATATCTGCTAAATGTCATTATAAAGACAATCATTTGATTATTAAATAAAAGAAAATGATTAACTCGTCGAGTACCGGTTTTATAGACACAATTAAAGAACAATAGGTCGCGGTCACCGGTGACCGCTTGGTGTTTGACAGTTTAATAAAGTATATTTTTCTTACAGGATGAAATCAACGAGCTGATCGAAATTATCCTTTTGGACATCCTCAACGAAAATCTTTAATCGACCGGAATACGAACAAAGAATATCAATTAATAAATGGACTCTTTTGAAAAGCTTGTTGTTTTTTTATAGCATAAGCCGGTAAACGAGTAGACGGATCACCTGATGGTAAGCAATCGGCGCCGCCCATGGACACTCGAAACACTAAGGCGTTACAAGTGCGTTACCGGCCTTTTGGATATTGTGAATTTGAGGATTCTGGATGATTCGGGAATTTGGGAGACTAGGGAGGGGGTAATTGGGCCTCCGGTAACCTCACTCACACGACGAAGAAGAAAGCTTGTTGTTTTCTTGTAAAAAATATTATTTTATGTTACTGATATAACAGAAACATAACATAATTATAGAAACACCTTTTACTGCTAAAATAATGACTGAAATCTCTTGATCCAAGATCTATAGATTACGTTCAATTTTTGACATTAGTTATTGAGTTTCTGTCGAAAAACTTACACCAAAAACAAATACATTATGAATTTCAACAGACAATCGGTCAGTTGAAGGGATTCAGATTTATTTATTTTCAACCATGATCATCCTACTGCAGGGCAAAGGCTTCCCTATCTTCCTTTCACTCTACTTCATGTAAAGCTTTTTGCTGCCAATCCATAACATAAATGTCCAGTTCGTCCCGCCATCTCCTTTTGCGCCTACCGCGACGTCTATTGACACTGAGCGAGCTTCACTTAGTAGTAAGTTTTGCCCACCGCTCGTCTGACATGCTGCAGACATGACCAGCCCAGTTTAACTTTAAGCCTGTCTGATTTTAGGCGTTGGAAACTCATAGACGTGTGCATTCCGCTCATCTTCACTTATGGCGCTTAAACTTGGTCTTTAACACCACAACAGAAATGTATATTTTACATCAGTTAAAATATAAACAGTTTAGAATTAAGTGACATAAGTGATACCACTTATGTCGTGAGTCCCATGAAATGTATTATCCCATCCTATACCTATGTACATATCACAGAGAACCTAACGGGTTACCGGGGCTCCGGCGCGACGTGCAGGAGAAGGAACGGGGTGGTTTTTGTTCAGTAAGAGTCTGACACTCCCTTCCGCCTCACCCAGGCGGAAGCAGCAATTCGATAATGTTCCCTCCTTAAAAAATACCTATGTAAATATTTAAGGTTACTCGTATTATATTAGCACGCCGCCTTCGTTCGAGTGGTGTATTACTCTTCAATCTCCTAATTATCTGTCTTAGGAATAGATACATAAATAAACAATAAAAAAATTAAATAACAAAACCGGTAGCAGCGCGACAGTCACCGCGTCGTGGGTCACGTAATGCTGCTCATGAATATGAGCCTCTAGCATGGCTTGAAACTAGTCGAGTTTCTCGTCAAACAGTTACGTAAGTAAGTCGAAAACATAATAATTAATAACAAACCCGATTGTATAGAGCACATCGTATTCCACATGGCCATCAGTTTGAAGAACATAGTTAATAACTTGGTTTGACCTATTTGTAGAGGTAACAACAACCTCTTAATAAATCCATTATCTTGTGTTTGCGATTCCATTGTCCATCTGTTTGAGATAACTTTACTATTGATAAGATTAATCCAAGGATTATTATTAGATTACATAAATGGTGTACAAAATCTTTGTATATTGAGTTAAATTTTTTGTTTGAAAATGGAAACATTTTGAAACATTTTTCGAAGGTGATTTCGATTATCAATTCAGACACGGTAATTATAACTTTAGTTTTTTTTTTACATAAAGAGTTTATACTTATACATACTTTGAGATCTGTTCTGCCTGGTACCAGTAGCGCAGATTATTTTAACCGATATCATGTATTTTTTTATATTCTTACGTTCTTATTTCGAAATATCGAATTCATCAATCGTATTGTTGCCATATTATGAATCTAATTGATTGAAAAATTAAAGGTACATTGTTATGGAGATTCTGATGATCAGTCGGTTGTTGTATTAAGGGTTCGATTATTACACACTTACAGACCACTTTATGTAATCAAAGTCAAAGTTAAAGTCAAAGTCATTTATTTCAACAAGACAGGAAGGCACTTTTGAACGTCAACAACAAAAAAAATTAGAAGTGAAGTTAGTTGCCCATTCCAAGGTGTAGATTCCTATGGATCTTTGGGGTATTAGTGTACTATCGGGCTAGCGGACGAGGCTAGTCATATGCCATAGGTACTGGTCAGAGTCTGTACGGAGTTTTTTTTGTTCGGGAGGAATCTGATACTGGCTTCTACCTCACCCAGGGCGGGAGAAGTCATTTGATTATTGTCTTACCATAAAAAGAGGTATTTGTAGGAGTGTGAACGTAGTTCTTTATTCTACTATAATAAACAGTTTTTTAAGTGTGGGCGATGCTTCGGCATCGGCACGAATGGGCCGGCTCGACCTGAGTGATACCACGGCCTCATAGAAAGCGACGTGAAGCACGCTTGCGTTGTGTTTCGTCGTGTGAGTGAGCTTACCGGAGGCCCAATTACCCTCCTCTTCCCCAATCTTCCCAATTCCTGAATCCCCGATCTCAAACTCCTAATCTCCAAAAGGCTGGTAACGCACTTGTAACGCCTCTGGTGTGCCAGGTGTCCATGGGCGGCGCTGATGGCTTACCATCAGGTGATCCGTGTGCTCGTTAACCTGCTTATGCCAAAAAAAGAAGAAAACCGGGGAACTCGAATCCATGTTCAGAAGTCGTAGTTACAATAACTAGACGAAAATACTTATCTAACTAAAACAATAGGTACACTTCTTTGTTTATTGAATTAACACTTGTATGTGATTGAAATAAACATTGTAAGTGATTTATCGTCATTTTTAATTATTATCTTTATCGTTTAAGCAAATAGTTGATTAAGTATTTATCTGTGAACACGGTTTTGTCATCAGCAGTGTTGTGAGCAGTTCGTGTCAGAAAGGTATGTACGTTGTGCAATCTGTTATAATTGATATTAATTAATTAATTGAAGTTAATTAGCTACCTAACAGGATAATGTAGCGCAATATTTGTCAAAGTCAAAGTCAAAGCATTTATTTCAATTACTGGTTTGGTACTTTTGAAACGTCAACAAATACAAAATAAATAATTGTCTGTCAGTCAGTCCGTTAGTGAAACTAGGTGAAGCTAGGTGCTCATTCCAAAAATTAGATTCGAATGGAGAAGAACGAGCAAGAAACTCCATAATTGTAAAGTTTATTTCTGTGTAAATGTAATACATTATGCAACAGATACCTACTAGTTAATATTCTTACCTGTGAAATAGGTAACAAATATTCTATAGCAGCATTGAATTGAGAAGAATGGTAGCTTAGGTACCTACGTATTTTTCTAGATAAAATCTATCTACACCTGAACAATCTGTTGTGGGTTAGAGTTAAGCCGGTAAACGAGCACACGGAACACCTGATAGTAAACAATCGGTCCCGCTTATGACCTGAAATATTAGAGGCGTTACAAGTGCGTTACCGGCCTTTTAGGAATTGGGAATTTGAGGATTGTGAGGATTCGGGGATAGGGAGACTAGGGAGAAGGTAATTGAGCCTCCGGTAACCTCACTCACACGACGAAACACAAGGCAAGCGTTGTTTCACGTCGGTTTTTTGTGAAGCCGTGGTATCACTACGGTCGAGCTGCCCATTCGTGCCGAAGTCTGGCTATCCCACATTCATAAAGAGTATTTCAAAAAAAAATTATTGATCCGGGTCCGAGTGCGACGCTTCAATGAACCTGATGATCTGTAAAATTCGTTTAAAATTAAGGTGAAAATCTAATGTTTTTAGGTCCGAAGATGCAGTCTTGCCTAATAATATTGTCAGTCTTCAGTCTAGGGTTGGTAACAGACACCCCAGTAGATTTCACAAAATTCAACCAAATTCAGCTCAATCAAGGTGAGATTTTATAACTTATTGTACACGGTGCAATGGCATATCAACTTACACCTTTCTGTCTTTTTTATTTATTAAATTTTCAACTCTAATGTTCCGATTTACATTATAACTTTTGTGAGACATACTAAATAAATTATTATGTTTTCGGTTTACTCACGTAATTATTTGACGAGGAATTCGACTAGTTTTAAGCCATGCTAGAGGCTCAGGCAAGCTGGGCCCGCAGACTCCAGTAGTCAGTAGCAGCGCGACAGACGCCGCGTCGCAGGTCGCGAAATACTGCTCATGAATATGAGCCTCTAGCCAAGCTTGATATTAGTCGAGTTCCTCGTCAAATAATTACGTGAGTAACGCCTGAATATTGAAACGTTACTCAATTTTAAGTCGCGCTTAAGTATAGTTCTGTCACCACTAATTCTTTGTGAAATGACAGAGATGGCACGATATTTAAGCACGACTTAAAATTGAGTAACGTTTCTGTATTCTGGCATAAGCTGAAAACATAATAATGGGGATGATGACAGGGTATGAAAATTAAAAATATGATTAGTCCGTAAGTTAGGTAATGAAAAAATATTAGACACATACTTTTTTATTTTGTCGTATAATAAAACAATACTTAGATAAAACGAATCAAAGTTTAGGAGCGGGGGCTAAAACGTCATTCCTTAGTATAAATTGTACTGAGAAGTGACGTCACGCGACATTTCAAATCAATATATCTTCGAAACTATTCGTTTCTGTGAGAAAATAAAAAATACGTGTCTAATGTTTTTAAATAATCTATCAGACGGACATTAAAATAAAAATTAGTCGTCTACCCCATTAAGTTGCGATTTATTTTCGAAAATGTAATGAAATCGGGATTAACATAACTGGGCAATCCTACAACATAAAAGGTTATCTTGCTATATAATTACAGATGTGGCTCTCCGGAACTCATTGTTAGAGAATGCTATCCTGGAAGCATTGGAAGGTTTAAGGAAGGACATGGTGACGGGTACTGATGATATACCAGTCCTTGATCCTTTGGAAGTTGAGCATTTACACTTGAATGAAGAATTACTCACTTTACCTGGGTAAGTTTAATATAAAATCTAATATGATTTGTTCTAAAGTTATAAATACTATAACCACTTTTATATTATTATGCGTTCTCTGTAAAAAGAGGGCATACAAAATGGACGTAGTATATCGGGTACTACAACTGACAAAACTATTAAACGAAAGTCCCACTGCTGTCTTAAAGTGTCTCCATATTATATGGCCAATGTGAAGTAAATACGCAGCAAAACCGTTTGCGAGCTGCGTGCGTACAATCAAAGCAAAGGTTTGCTGCGCCTCTTTAGTGCAACTCATGCAAGGCTCGTTTAAATAATAATTTTATTTTTATTTATTTATCGTATTTACAATAAGTACAGGATTATCCATTTAAAATGGCAACCAAAATCCACTAAGGTTTAAACTTGTGCTATCATGAATCGTCTCGAAATCGAATTTTTATAAAATGAGGTTATACAATATACGTTAATGACGCCAACAATATAAACAACCTAGGATAAACAAACACATTCCTAAATAACACTTATGTAATATTGCTTTAGTTTACATTTTATGTTCTTTTGCGTAATATTATTTTTTATTTCTGAGGGTAAGCTAATAATTTATTACTTGCGCGCAGTTCGCAAGTGGTTCGCAAGCTGCATATTTGCGGAACATTCGCCAGATGTGGACGCACCCTTACATGCTCCGCTCTACCTGAATATCAAAATCCATATAAGTCAGTTTCATACCCATACATGAAATCAAACCTTTTGACCCACAAAATAAGGCAGAAAACTATAAACCGTCACTTACTATTCTTAAATACTTCTTTACCCTTCATCACATTCATGCACCGGAGGCCTTAGTACGAGTACGCAATCGGCTCTCTGATTGGTTGGTTCATTAGAGCCGGCCAATCAGAGAGCCGATTGCGTACTCGTTTCGATTACTTTAAACGTAAAACAAAATTTGTACTAAAGCCTCTGACTACACAAGCATATGACATCATTATACTACATGTAACTTAAATAACACACATCCTGAATGAATAGTTTGTTCAGAATCGTTAACTGAATGGATTTATATAATTTTTGGTATAGGTAATTTTTTATCCCAAAAATAATTAAAACTACAGAAATTATTGTCATATTAACCTTGTATTGTTAAAACAAATCGAAATGGACCGTACGTCAAAGCAATAAGACTTTTAAAATCGCAGTTTTATTTGTATTCATACAAATTCTATTATTCAATACAAAATAAAGAAAAATAAACCTTATGACAAGACCAGTAAGGATGCATATACATGTTAAATTAAAAATTTACTGTATGTATTATGATTATAACATAATATTCTAATTGGGGTGTTTGAGGGTGTGCGTTAATTACGTTACATGTTGTATATCTTGTTTCAGTTCCCACGTGACCCTGAAAGACCTGAAGGTTGAAAAACTGAGTACGTTCGTGGTAGACACACTGTCAGTCACTGTTGAGACGCTGCTGCCTTTACGGTACCGGATCACCTTCGACATACGGATCCCTGAATTGCCTGCTGAGGCCGGTTAGTATTTTCTTTTAAACAAGCAAGTCACTTGGTAGTGATGTAAGCAATTGATGTCACCCATAGAGGCTCGTAACACCAGACCAGAAGAATCATATTGCATTGTAGGCACAAAATTATGAATGGATAGCAATAATTGCAACATACTCCGGAAAGACTGCCTCGTTGGCCGAGTGGTCACAAGGGGTCTCGGATTTGATTCCCGGGACGGGAAAAGTATTATTGAGCTTTTTACAAAAATCTCAGTAGTCGCACGGAGTCTGGAATTGTGTCCGGTATATGGCAATAGGCTCACCCACTATTACATGGGACTCATAACATAAATAATGAAAAGTGGGTGTTACATTGTACAGTGGCATTAATGCCCGAATACTGAAACGTTACTCAATTTTAAGTCGCGCTTAAGTATAGTTCTGTCTCTACAAATTCTTTGTAAAATGACAGAGATGGCACGATATTTAAGCACGACTTAAAATCAAGTAACGTTTCAGTATTCCGGCATAAGTCCCGTAATGGACACCTCTGCCTACCTCTTCGGGGATAAAATGCGTGATGTTATGTTACTCCGAAAAGAAGACTCAACGCTTATTGCATTTTTTCCTCCAATTGGACCGTTGGACGGTGTTTTTCTTGAGCTTTGTAACAAACTATTAAAGTTGTGTGTATTTATTGTTTTACAGAAAACTACGATCTTATGATCATAGCACAGGGTCTTAACATTTTTGGAAACGGCGACGCTAAGTGAGTATTCATTTAATGCAAATAAAGACTATGAAAAACAATATGGTAATGACTATTTCTGTAGTTACTAATAGCCTAACCAATTGTCTTAAGAATAACGTCTAAGCATATCCGTCTTAAGTTCTTAAGTCCTTGTCGTGTCATTCAACGCTGCTGTTTTTATACTAGCATAACTGACTACTTTATAGCCTATAGCCTTCCTCAATAAATGGACTATCCAACACAAAAATAATTCTCAATTCGGACCAGTAGTTCTGGAGATTGGCGCGTGCAAACAAACAAACTCTTCAGCTTTATATTAAAAAATTAGTATTACACCTCTACCTCATAAACCTTTTGATATTACGATTATCAATATGACTATATTATGTTTATTTTATGGTGGTGTTGTATGTCTTAAACCTCCGGGCCGTCGCTTCTCATGAAGGTCCGAAACCTACTAACGGGAAATACTAATTGTGACATTTTCCGAGTTATATGTACCTATTTCTAAGATTATTTAGACACCACTGACAAACGGCGAAGGAACACATCGTGAGGAAACCTGGGCTTAGTTATTATACGTTTGAAATTGCCAACCCGCATTGAGCAAGCGTGGTGATTAATGCTCAAACCTTCTCCGTGTGAGAAGAGGCTTTGCTCAGCAATGGACATGTGTAGGCTGTTGTCGCTGTTGATGATGATGATGATTATATTTATGTTGTTCCAGAGTCACTCTGATTGAGCCGAAAGTGCACGGTCACATCGTGTTGAGCCCGAGGATCACGATCGGGTCTGGCTTGTTCTATAGTATCACTACCAGTAATGTCAACTTCTCATTGAAAGGATTCGAAGTTAGTATCTTTGATATATTTATGTTATTTGTTTGTTAAATACATAATACCAAGCCTTTTATCCCCGAAGGGATAGGCAGAGGTGCACATTACAGTTTTTAATGCCACTGTACAATGTAACACCCACTTTTCACCGTTGGCCGAGTGTTCGCAATTGCGACTGCCGGGTAAGGGGTCTCTGGTTTAATTCTCGGGTCGTGCAAACTACTATTGGGTTATTAAAAAAATCTCAGTGGTAGCACGGACACTGGATATGTGCCCGGTATATGGCAATAGGTTCACCCCCTATTACATGGGACTCATAACATAATTAATGAGAAGTGGGTGTTACATTGTACAGTGGCATAATGTGCACTACCTACCTGCCTACCCCTTCGGGGATAAAACCCGTTATGTTATGTTATGTTTATCTTCTTGGAACTCATTGAATAATTAATATAGATATAAGTGATTATTATTGCTTTCAGTCGAAGATCAACGGGTTGATGAATGATGCTGCTATGTCGGAATTCATCAATACATTCTTGGGTCACTTCGTGCCAGATGCCGTGGTTGTGTACAAGGTAAGATTTATACATTATTTCAACAGAGAGCACCGACAAATTCTTTTAAAAAATTTTTTTGATACATTTTACATACATACATACATACATAACTTCACGCCTGTCTCCCATGGGGGTAGGCAGAGACTAAGGAACGCCAATTACTACGATTCTTACATACATTTTATTTCGCGTTATTTATGCAACATCAGCCTTGACCTTGATTACAACTATTCTTATACAAAAGAAACATTTAATTCCTTATTTTCATTAAAATAAAACTTGTTTTTAACCATCACCTGTCGGCGTTTTTCGGGAGCGCTATGTTTACACACGCTATTAAACCTACATACATCGTTTATATCGTTTGCTTAGTTGCAAAATCTTCTCCGTGTGAGAAGAGGCTTTGCTCAGCAGTGGGCATTGTGGGCAGGCTGCTGATGTGTGTGATAGCCTATGCGTTATTCTAGATGATATATAATATATCCATAATATATCCCTTTATAACGTTTTGACGTGAAGGAATAATAAACACACAAACTTTCGCATTTATAATAGGTAATAATAGGATTGCACTGCCTAATGATGTTAACCATATTGAAAATTCATGTCAACAAAAAATGTGATTAAGAATTTGTATTGTTTCAGGATGATATTACGAAAATCTTAAGTGATACTGTAATGGAAGTGGGGAACGAGCTGCTGCAAGACTTGAACTTAGGTGCAATCCTTGGATGAATACTTTACATTTGATTTACAGAACCTAACACTAAGTTACTCCAAATTAATCCATTTTCGACTTTATTACTAAAGAAATAAAGTTGTTAATGCTAGATTGGAGTAACTTGATGTGGCGGCGTTATTACATATCATTACACTATACGTGATAAAATTTATCTTTTATAATAATAAACAAATGCATACTTGAAATTCTTTTGTTTTATTGTGATTTCATAACAATGTTTAACAAAGCGCCATCTAGTGAAAATTATTTGAAACTTAAACAGAGTCAGCCTTTTCTTTTAGAAAATTGTGTCTTAAGGTTACAATAGATGTCAGTACCGATAAATGTAAGCTAAGTTAAATAAAATAAGTTAATTTAAGATGTAAATATGTACTGTGAAAATGTTTTAATTACTAAAAAGCTTCAGTTTTTACTTAAATAAAAAATAAATAAAAATATATTAGTTGCTTAGGGATAAATGTTATTGTGCAATAAAATGGAAGCATACTTATCACCTGCTAATAGATAATCAAAGATTTACTGTACCTAGTATTAAATTTCCAGTATAAATCACGCAGACAATGTTCCGAAACACAAGAATACACAATAACAATTAAACTGTCAAACACCAAGCGGTCACCGGTGACCGCGACCTATTGTTCTTTAATTGTGTCTATAAAACCGGTACTCGACGAGTTAAAATAATCAACATTGTCGGTCTGTTTCGATATAAAGAACGATTTTACTATAAAACCGCTGTTAAACCGTCATAAAACGAAACACAATATTAGGATTTTGATACATTAGATCGTAAAATGTAAAATTAACGGGTGTCTGGCTTCACGACTATAGTAAAATTTTCATTATGACGCAGTTATGGGGATTCAAGGCCAGCTGATGTCTTTTGTTGAAATATTATATTACAGACCATTTGTCCAGGGAAACTGTGGGAGAGCCATGCTTCGGCACGAATGGGCCGGCTCGACCGGAGTGATACCACGGCTTCACAGAAAACCGACGTGAAACAATGCTTGCGTTGTGTTTCGTCGTGTGAGTGAGGTAACCGGAGACCCAATTACCTTCCCCTTCCCCAATCTCCCCATCCCTGAATCCCCAACGATCTTCAAGTTCCAGGTGTCCATGGGCGACGCCGATTGCTTACCATCAGGTGATCCGTCTGCTCGTTTACCGGCTTATGCCACAAAAAAACATGGCGTTACAAGTGCCTTACCGGCCTTTTGGGAATGGGGAATTTGAGGATTGTGGAGGATTCGGGGATTCGGGAGACTAGGGAGGGTGGTAATTGGGCCTATGTAACTATACTAACTTCTTGGAGGAATAACAGGAGTTGTTACACTTTTTTGTCAAGATGACCACAGACTAAGATGATTTGTATCTTTATTACACTGCAATGTAAGTAATGAGTTTGAGTTCAAATTATTCGACCTTAGTACCAAAGTTCTTGAGTTAAGGCAACACATCGCTCAACACTAAATGAGATTCTAGAATCGTTGGTTTAATTGAATCTTTGCTAATTCTACTTTACATTAGGTACTGTGTGAAGTCGGTGAAGTAAGTTTTCAATGGCAGCCTGTAATTCAGTCTCGAGGTCTTATTCTTGTAAGGAACGGTTCGTTTCGCTTCGGAATGTTAAATAGTGATTGTTTTAAAGTATCATGTGTACCTAATTTTGAAGATTTGTAAGAGGAATATGTACAATTCCTCTTCCAAATCACATTAGTTCAGTTAATAATAGGTGTTCATTTGTGTAAAAAAGTTGTCTGGTTCAAAAGACGCGTTATTGTTGATTTACTAAATAACTTGTGTAATAGAGTTGTGTACCTACATTGTAAAGAAAAAAAACTGTGAGTATTATATAAATGTAATTTAAAGACCTAAAATAGGTGCGTTAGCCTGCATGGTCATATTTATATCATGTTTCTTGTAAACTGACCGTGTCTGTTTTATAATGACTGTATGCTTTTTATGATAATAAAGAAATTATAAACAAAAACAAAAAAATAGGTGTTTATGATGCTAGTTTATTATGTAAACTTATATAATAGATTAACTGTCATACTTATCAGTAATTTAATGGTTTATTTTTATGGGACAAGCCCGTAAACGATCAGACGGATCACCGGATTGCAAGTAATCGTCGTCGCCCATGGACACCTGGAACACCAGAGGCGTTACAAGTGCATTACCGGCCTTTTGGGGATTAGGAATTTGAGGATTAGGGATTGGGGAGATTTGCAAATTGCATTGGGCGTCGGGTAACTCACACGACGAAACACAACGCAAGCAGTGTTTCTCGTCGGTTTTTTTTTGAGGCCGCGGTATCGCTCCGGTCGAGCCGGCCTATTCGTGCCGAAGCATGGCTCTCCCACACTTAAAGATTATTTATAGATTTTAAATAAAGATCAATTATTATATTTCGGTAAGTAGTTAAGAGGAATAATAATCGATAACTAATTCATATAGATAAAACTCTATCTCTTTTGTACCCAAAATTCTCAACTACTTTCTCAGCCGAAGATATGAAAGACATTTAATTTTTCTCATCCATTCTTTAGAATTAAAATTTCTTTTGAAAAAATTCAAAAAGTGCCAGAACTTTGAAACTACGTCCCGTTTGTTCCGGAAACTGCGTTCATTGTGGTCTAGGGTTGCCGAGCTAGACAACACAAATGCTCAAAGGAAACTTTGAAATTAGTTTGTCTAGTCATAATTCTTAGAAAGACGAAGGTATTATGAATGAAATCGTGATATTATTTCTTGCCTTTGTAGAAAACATATTAAGTTACGGCCATTTGACTTGGAATTAAATTGTGTTAATGTCGTAATCACCTATACTTCGTCGGTCAACTTATTCACTGAATTTTCGATTTTACATCAAAACAGATAGGTACAGTTTTGATTTTACATCAAATCTGATAAAGAAGGTTTACTTTTACTTTTTGACTGCCTCGTTGGCCGAGTGGTCGCAAGTACGACTGCCGGGTAAGGGGTCTCGGGTTCGATTCCCGGGTCGGGCAAAGTATAACTGGATTTAAAAAAAAATTCAGTAGTAGCACGGAGTCTGGAATTGTGCCCGGTATATGGAAATAGGCTCACCCCCTATTACATGGGACTTATAACATAAATAGTGAAAAGTGGGTTTTACATTGTACAGTGGCATAATTTACACCTCTGCCTATCCCTCCGGGGATAAAAGGCGTGATGTTATGTTATGACGTGTTAATGTACAGATCTCATACTTCGTCGGTCAACTTATTCACTGAATTTTAGATTTTACATCAAAACAGATACAGTTGAAAATCTAATAAAGAAGGTTAATTATAGTCACCTGATTTATATATATATTATCGTCATATGAATCCGTCGACACTTCTTACGGTTCCATTGTCAATATAGATCAAACCAGTTGATGTTACTCTGTTTATGAAAAACAAAGAAAAAATATTCCATGCATATAAATATTGAATCTATATTGATACCCCTTGGTACCCCAAAGATATTTTCCTAGAAAGTGAAATTGACGTCGAGGGTTAATTTGATTCACCGTAGGTATAGTTTTTTTTTGTGTAGGTAAGAAAAGTAGGTGATCGTGGTTAGCTTCCTACTTCATACATTTACTGTTAGTGTGTACATTTTGAACCTACAAAGACACCATTATGAGGGCCTGTCACATCCACCAACATCCCAATCCCAGTACCTTGCTGAGCACCATCAGTAACGGTGAATACATACATAGCTATATATACATAACTCCACGCCTGTCTCCCATGGACCCCCATTCCCCGCAGAGACAATTTTTTTTATTTATGTTTTTTTTTGCCCTGCACGAGGATTTTCTCCTGTGTCGTGGGTGCTTTTATAAACATACAAGTTCACACAAAGAGTTGTTCCGTACGAGAATCGAACCCGCGACACGTTGCGTTTCAGTTGCCCGCGCCAACCGTGGAGTCAACTATGGAACGCCAATTGCTACGATTCTTATATACCTCTTTCTTTTTATCAACGTCATCATGGCGATGAAATCGTTTTTATTTACTTGTATATATAGTAAGTAAAATGAAAATTCGGTACCAAAAATGTAATGATTTTGTTAATGTGTCAACCCTACGATGTTCCTTTGAATGAAACTGCAAGTCGGTCCTAGAGGACAGATTGGGGGAAGCTGAGTAGACACTTTAGGCTTTTCTTTAACAACTACCGATTTAATAATTAAATCTTAAATGATACATTTTTGTTCATAAAATTATTAATGAGCATTTGATGAAATTACATACAAAATTTATTTTTTAAACTAAGAGGAATAAAAATAAACCTAAACAAAACTAACTGGAATTGTCATAAAGCAAAAAGATAATCATGAAGATGTAAACAAACATTAGATTAGATAATAAATATAATACATATTTTAGTAATTCTAAAAAACATCTAAAATATATAAACATAATATATTATGTTCGTAAATCTCAGTAGTAGCACGGAGTCTGGAAATGTGCCCGGTATATGGCAATAGGCTCACCCCCTATTACATGGGACTCATTACACAAATAGTGAAAAGTGGGTCTTACATTGTATAGCGGCATTATGTGCCGTAATGTGCACGTCTCTGCCTATCCTTTCGGATATAGAAGGCGTGATGTTTTGTTATATTATTTTAGTACTTTTCGCCACGAAGAAAACCTCTTATGAGTCCACATCTTAACTATTAAACCAATAGTTTCAGTGTTATTTTGTTACCTAATCTCCAGAAGCAGAGCTTAAAATAATCAGTTTGATAATATGACAAAACAATCATCATCACAATCAACAGCCTATAAATGCCAACTGCTGAGCAAATCCTCTTTTCACACGAAGAAGGTTTGAGTATTAATCACCATGCGGGTTGGTGATTTCAAACTTATAATTAGAAATTGTAAGTCCAGTGCCTTTAGCCAAATGCAACTTTAGCGCTTGTCTACAGAGAGAGTAGAAAATTAAATTTATGGGGATGTCACTG